AAGAAATATATGTTGTCAACAGCATTAACAGAGGATAGCTATAGTAGCTATATTAATTTCAGACAAAACAGACTTTAGAACAAGGAAAATTGTCAGGGGTAAAGGGGAGCATTATATAGTGATGGAGGGGGCAATTTCTCTAGGAAGACACAGCAGTTCTTAATGTGCAAGTAACAAAGTAGCATCAAAGTACAGGATACATAAACTGTTAGATCTACAAGGAAAAATGGACAAATCCACCACTATTGTTGGAGTCATCATGACTCCTATTTTAGTAACTGACAGATCAAGCAGACAGAAACTCATTAAGAACATAGTTGACCTGAAGAGTATTATTAATCAATCTGATCTAACTGATGTCTATGGAATATTCCATTCAACAGCAACAAACTGCACATACCCCTCAAGCTCACATGGAATATTTACCAAATGTGCCATATTCTGGGCTGTAAAACACACCCTAACAAATTTGGAAAGATAGAAATCATTTAAAAATATGGTCTCAGACCACAATGAAATAAAAGTAGAAATAACAGATAGCTGGAAAATCCTCCAAATACTTGGAATTAAAGAACACCCTTCTAGGGTTAAAGAAGAAATCTCAAGAGAAATTGTAAAATACTTTGAGCTAGATGGAAATGAAAACACAGCTTATTAAAATTTGTGGGATGTACCAAAAGCAGTGCTTATAGAGGGATACAGCACTGAATGTACACATTAGACAAGAAAGATCTAAATGAATAATCTAAGCTTCCACCTGTGGGAACTACAGAAAAATAGAGAAACTGAAACCTAATTCAAGCAAAAAATAAATAAATAAATCCTAAAAATTAGAGTGGAAATCAATGAAACTGAAAACAGGAAAACATCTAAGAAAATCAATGAAGTCAAAAGCTGATTTTTTAGAGAAATCAACAAAATCGACAAACTTCTAACAAGACTAGCAAAGTCAAGAGAGAGAAGACAGAAATTAGCACTATTGTAAATGAAAGAAGGGTTCATCACCATTAATCCCATGGACGTGAAAAAGATAGCAGAGAAATAATACTAAGGAAAACTCTAGGACAAAGAATTTGATAGAAGGTGAAACAGACAAATTTCTTAGGAGACACAAACCACCAAATTCCACACAAGGAGAACAATCATCTGAACAGGCCTATAGCTACTAAAAGAATTGAACCAATAATTAAGAAACCTCCAAAGAAGAAAGCAGCAGACCCAGGAGGTATCACTAATGAATCCTACAAGACATTTAAAGAAAAAAATAACACCCATTCCCTAAAATATCTTCGAGGAAACAGAAAAAGAGGCAGCGCCACCCAACTCATTCTAGGGGGTCAGCGTTACCCCATCCTTACGTCTCGGTCTTCCTTTTCCTACCTGGAGGCCAAGGGCTGGCTGGATTCAAGCTTGCTCATTTCCCATCTCTCGGGAACAGGTGGAGGAGCAGGTGTGGGCTGGATGCTGGTGCCGGGTGCTGAGGACCTACCTGACTGTTCTCCAGCTGCTGATAGCAATGCTATGCCTTCTTGAGGCCCTGACCAGTTCCAGAATCTGGAGAAGAATTTCCATACACTTTTACATTGTTTCAAGAATGTATTGATGTATTTGTCTTGTATTTTAAAAAGACAAATTCTCTCCTTCCCTAGTCAGATGCTTAACATCCCAGCACAGATAGAGCAATGCCTCACTCCCCACTTGGTTGCGTTTGTCAGTGTTGGGTCTGGTTTCACTTCCCCTGACTCATGTGTTCAGAGGCCCCGCACAGATGCACTCTGGGCAGAACTGCCCCCCAGCTACCCAGAAATCAGAAGTTGGACAACACACATTCAATTTCAATGTTAATTTTTCTAAAGGGAACTGTGCTGGGCAGAGCTGTCTTTTGGGGTTGGGATAGAGGAGGCATGGGGGAAATGAGAGAGAGGGTTCGTAAAGGTGATATGAGTCAGCCTCAAGTTTCCCCAGGGAGCTAATCCAATGTGACTTAAGAAATCTGATTTCCTCATTATCTCTTTATGAGCAATCTCATTCTGCCATATGTCTGTGGACGGAGGCTGGAAAGACAGAAATAATACATGTAGATGCTGACCTTCCTGGAGATGGGGAACCAGGACAGGAGGTGGGAACTAACGTGCAATTGAGCTGGCCGCCTCCACCTGCCGTCTTCCACTGCCAACCCCACTGGGCAGTGGCACTGGCCTGGGATCAACCTTGAACAGGCGTTTACTGCCTTTGTGCCTTCCCGGAGCTCTAAGGAGCTCCAGTCAACCCAATTGATTGATCTCTCGTGTGTGGCACCCAAAGAGTAAAGGTGAAATTGCTGAACAGTGTGACACGGTTACACCAACACCTGGTTCCCCTCTGCCTGGTCCCTGAGGCAGTTCTCAGCCCCAAGGAGGAGGCACAGGGCCGGCTGGGTGTCCATGGCAGACAGGCCACTATTCATCCAAAGGAAAGAGAGCAGAACAGCCTATTTCACTCAAATGGATCCAGGTTGTTTGGGGTAAGGGGGCATAGCATATGTGGGCAGGAAGTGAATGCCACGTTTGCCGCTGCCTCTCTGCTAAGGTGGTCATGAGAAGGAAGGAAAGCCAGACATTCCAGATTATCTCTCAGGCTTGTAGATTGGCCAGGAACAGTACTTAGCCCGGACTAGACACGGGGCTAGAAAGAGGCAAGATGCTTGGCATTATAAGACAGGTAAGATGTTCCTCAAATTTCTGGAAAGCAGTCAGAAGCCATAGAAAACTCCACACTCCTGCAACCAGAGGGAAGCACCAAGTTTGGGCAGAGATGCCCGGTGTGTGACTCTAAGTTTCTTGAATAAATGGGCACTTTACAACTGCAGCCACAGTGATTAGAAAAAACAGTTTCAACTAGTCACTGAAATCTCAAGAAGACAGATCGGCTTCCTGTGGGATGGGGAAAGGGTTTGGAACGGACATTACCTAGACCTTAAAGGACAGTGTGATGCTAGCCACCAAATTCACTTGCTTTTTGGGTTTTGTTTGTTTCTGTTTAAAAAGTTTTTTTCATGTTTACTTATTTTAGACGCGCACACACACACATACACACACAAACACTGTGAGCAGGGGAGGGGCAGAGAGAGAGGGAGACACACACAGAGAGAGAGGCTCCAAGCTATCAGCACAGAGCCCAACATGGGGCTCAAACCCACAAACCGCAAGGTCACGACCAGGGCCAAAGTTGGGAGCTTAACCAGCTGAGCCACCCAGGCACTCTGCTACCAAGCACATTTGTACATTTACGTCTGTACACATTGTTTCATCAATACCTGGCCCTCGTTCTATAAAGGATTTGAAACAACTTACGAAAACACATTATATCAGCATGAACTTGGAAGAAAAAGAAATGGGAGCAAAGCGCAAATAAAATAAACAAACCTGGAGGACTAGAAATCCAGGTAGGAAAGATAAACGGGAGGCAGGGCAGCCTTAGATTCCAGGACCTTCGTCAGAGCAGTGTAGCCAAAGAAGGCAAGGCCTGGAGAACCAGAGGCAAATCAGGATGTTTCCAAAGTATGTTCCACTGAATCCTGCTTCTTCTGGCTCATCCTAGATGTGCTAGAAATTTGCATAGACATGTTTGCAAAGTACAGAGGGCCAGAGATTTCTACTTTTATTCCCTCCTCTGTTCTTTCTTTCCTCCAAAGAAATGAACATCAATCTGGCTGGGATAGATTCCAGCTTCCAGTATACTGATGAGGACATCTTTGCCAGTGGGTGGGGTCTGTGTGCCTACCAGGTGCTGTACACACATGGGACTGCCTACCATCGCTCCCCGGCCAGCCTCTCTCTCTCTCTCTCACTTTGTGGGGCAAAGAGGCTATTAAGTTGACTCCCTGTTGGCCATGGCTCTCCTCTGCTCTTGGCCCCCCATGGGGCACAGTGGCCCAGACAAGGCCGGACACAGACTACAAGAGCCCACTTTGGAGTCTCCTCCCTCTCCTCTCCCTGCCCTTAAGCAGCAGGCAGACCCAGAACACCACTCAGCTAGGCAATGATATAAATGCGTTAGCTTCCTTTGCTTGTAGGCACAAGGTCTTTAGTGTTCCTCAAGGGTACTTCTGTCAAGTTCACAAGAAAGCCCTAGTTTGCAATATGATGCATCAAAGATAACAATAGGCTGGGATTTTAGCTTGCATTTCCCGCTGTCCTGTTTTTTTCTCTATACTTGTTAGCGAATCAATCTCTCTGGGATAGCATATCCTGGATCAAGACCATCCATGCCAATCAGCCAACCCCTGGTTCCTAACACAGAGGTAGAGTTGTTTTCTTTTTCTTCCATATGACTCATGGGATGAGAAGATTCTGGCCTCCCTCCTTTCTCTGTTTTCTCACCCAGATTTAGGCCAAGTAGGTGGTAATCTCTGAAGCGAAGTCACTTTCTTACTACAAGAACAACTCCTCTCCATTTTGCTAAGTGTGCTAAGATCTCACACTTGGATTCAGGGAGTGACTTGTAGAGTCCTGATCACAATCCAGTGCTAGAAGTTAATCTGCTACTTTGTCCTGTTTGCCAAAGTCTACCAAACCCCCATCTTTGAACGCTAATGGGATGTCCACTACTTTTATTTCCAGGTATGTCAGATAACCAATCTCAGATTGATCATATTTCTGTGCAGATTCATTGCTCACAATTCATTTTCTCATACCAACTTGTAAGCAGCTGGAATTTTGGGATATGAATGATCAAAACTAACACTGGATAACTCGGGCAGAAAATCAATCTCTTGGAAGCATATCAGGTAACTTCCAGAATTTACAAGAAGGCTGAAGACTGGGATAAGAAAATAAACAATTTGTGCAGTAAGATCCCAGTCCGGGTCATTCCATGGACCTCAAGTACATAGTGTGTGGGCATTGATGTGGCAAACGTGTTCTTTCCACACATTTAAGAGGTTCAGAAGGAGTTTTAGTTCCTGCATGACAGATAAGGACACTCATTTACAGTTTTGTCTTGGGGTTATATTAACTCACCTGCCCTGTGTCATAATATAATCCGAAGAGCTCTGGATCACCTGGACATCCCATAGAACATCACACTGATCAGTTACGTTGATAACATCATGGTGATCGGACAGGATGAACAAGAGTTGGCCAGCGCACCTGCTAACGAGGGATAAATTACTGACCCTCAACAACAGAGGTGAATGTCAAAAGCATTATGATGACCCAAAGAAGCCACACATCAAAATGCATTTTCATTTATATAAAACTTTGATACAGGCAAAAAGAATCTGTAGTAATTGCAACTGCATCAGTGTTGCCCAATACTGGGGTTAGGGAGGAGGCTATCTATCTGCAAAAGGCACGAGGGAACTTTCTGGAATGATGGAAATGATCTGCATCTTAATTATAATTATGATTACATTTGTTAAAACTCATCAACTTAAATGTACACTTAAGATGAATGCATTTTATACCTCAATAAAATTGAGCTAAAAAAGAATTACACATGAACTTAGTAAATTCTCAGAACATATGTCACTGAATATAGTAGCTGAAGTTTTCCCATTATTACCATATTCTCAGGTATGTGTTGCTTAGATAGAAGCAATTTTTACCTAATTTACGTCTTCTTCTAGTCTAATCATCTGGCATTATGTTTCCACTCCTTCGCCTTTACCTAATCTATCTCTGGGCAGGTTAGAGAGGAGATCCTTGCTTCTGGGTTGGGATGTCCATCAAGGGGTTTTCCAGGGTAAGTGGAGGACTTCAGGTAAATGAAGTGTGGCAGGTGCACACAGTGGGGTGAATCCCTCTCACTGCTCCTGTCCTTGCATTTCACAGTGCTGCTTGCTTCCAAGGGCTGAGGCGCCATAGCACCCTCTCCTCAGCTGTCTGCATCGCATTTTTTTCCTGTGTCTCCCTCCACTGCCATGGGCTTCCTGTGGCTCCCAAGCCTCTGTCATCCTTACAGTAGTGACATGCCAGCACCAGGGCTGGGCCTGTTGATCTAGAATGTGCTCGCATTGGATAGGCTGTGCTGGTGCCTCTGTAGCAAGCAGGTGGACCTTAGTTTCAAGACCTCTAAGACCCCAGAACAGTTTTTTCCATCTTTTTTTCCTGAGGACATTTTGGGTGTCCTGGTAAGGGGAGCCCATGGGTTGGATACATTTGAGAACTATTGATTCAAATAAAGTTAAACAGATTTCTGTTATAGGGTCTCTCATAAACCGAACGTGCCAATGTACATAAGGCATCTTTAAAGCGGCATGGTGAGGGGTATTCCACCTTCCCTGAAGTGGCTGTTCTAGAGTCTTCTCCTGGCCCTGGCTCTGCCTTAGACCTGACTTCTTCATGCTCTTGGTGCCCAAATGCCTGGCTGCCCTCTGGCCACTTACCTGCCCAGAGGTCCCCTACCTTTGCATGATTTCAGTTTATATTCAGGTTCCCTTTTATCTCAACTTTCTTAGGCAATAATTTTACCCTGACAAAATATAGGCATTTCTGATTCACCTCCACTCCCCTCTGTGTTTTGTTTATTTTTTTAAGTTTGATGATTTCTAGTGAATTCATTGAGTTGTGCTACCAGCACCAGGATTCATTGTGGGAACATTTTCATCCCCCATTAGTACAGGAGGCGGACAAATCCTGGGGAAATAGAAGTAGGTGAGGAAGCACACAGATGGTGGATTCCCGGCTCCTGCCCGCGGATCCTGGGGCTGGGCCCCCGATGCCTCCTCCCCTCGGACACCCCTCGCCAGGCTGCACCCCCCACCACCACCTCCCTTAAATTGCCCCAAGAGCCTCACAAGTGTCCGGACGGCGATGGAGGGAGGCAGCAGGCACTGCCTCCAGCTTCCTGCACGATCAGCTCCAAATACTTTCACTTTTCTTTCCTCCGGAAGCCTGGCCCCCACTGCATGTGGCAAAGCACAGACTTCCTGCTTCACCCACTGGTTTCTCCCTGCTGTTCTCTCCGCCTTCCAAGAGCCATCACTGCCCCAGCCCCTGGACAGGAAAGGGGCAGGAGTAGGTGGCAACCCCAGCACCCAGGTGGGTTTTTGTCTCAGCTGCTTTGTTCTTCATCTGTGGTGATTGGGCTCTGATAGCTCATTTCCTGACAGTGCAGCTACCGAGTGGAACTCAACTAGTTTAAACTGTGAGGCTCTCTCCTTGTAAAATGTTGTCTTCCAGAGATAGAGAGCTATGTGGGATTTAACCAGAGACTATGAAAAAGGGGGGCAGATATGGGAGTCGGAAGGGGGGAGCAGAAACACAGCTCAACTCTTTTTCCCCCTAAATTCTAGCCCATTGTTGTGGATGAAAACGAGATTTGCTCTCTGCCCTCCTCCTCTGTGCTCTGTTGATTCTGCACTCAGTCCCAAATGGGCAGCTCATTTATTATCCACAGTGCAAGTGACTAGACGTAGTTGGTAGAAAAAAGAAAAAAAGGAGGGAACATTTAATTTCCTCTCTAGTGTTTCATGAACTTTTTATATATTTTCCTTAAGCACATTTATGATTGTTTCCTTGAAGTATATTCCTAGAAGGGGAATTTAGGACTCAAGGGAATCCATACTGTAGAACGTTTGACCTTGATTGCTAACTTAGCCTCCAGAACATTCGGATCTGTTTACATGTGCACCAGGAGCATCTGTGGTTATTGCTATTAGTCTTTATGTTGGGCAATCTGATAGGCAAACATTACTAAATCGTCTTCTTTTGTACTGTTCCAGCTACTAAAGACTTGCCATGCTTTTCATATATTTATTGCACATATGACTCAATTGCCTAGTTATGTCTTTTGCTTTTTTCCCCACATGGCTGTCTGTCTTTTGCTTATTCATTTTTAAGACTCCTTTACATAATAAAAATCTGAACACTCTCATATGAGGCCCAGCATCATGCACTAGCTTTAGTGAGGCTTTAGTCAGATAAGCTTTGCTTTGCCACCTTGAGCTATTTTACTTAACCTCTCTGTGCCTTGCTCTCCCTCTTGAGAGCCATAACAGATGAGAACCATAACAAGGAACCTGGTGGATATTAGGTTCTGAGTGCTGTTGTATAATTGACCATCCTAAATGTAACCTCAGGGTCATGTCCTTTTCTTACTCTGTGTCTATTCTGAATTTCTTTGGCTCCATATTTGTCTTTGCATATTCTTCTCCATAACATGGATTCTATCCATTTCACTAATGCTAGATTTCTCTTCCACCTATTCTCAATCTTCCAGGATTTCTTCACTATTATAGAATCCCCTATGGCATCTTTTATTTTCCAGCACTATTGTGTATTAATCTACTCTTACAATATGGTTTTTTTTTTTCTGTCAAACTTAAATAATGTGAGAATGAGCAGAGAGAGCAGGGCTGTTCAATCTACTACTGGGATTAATCCTGGAAGCAGTCACTAGTTACGGCTCAGTTTTTCTATTATACACAAAATGAAGTAGGCAAAACAAGATCGCTGTTTTGTTTTGTTTTTAAATCTCTGGGTGATTGACATTTTTGTTAGTACTTCTCTTGACAATTTGTCAGGAATATCATCTGTAAGTTTTCTTCCTCTAATCACTTATTGATATTTTCTCATGGCCTATCAGTAGCTAATTTTTATCAATGTCACATGGGCATGGAAAAGGCAATACCCATTGACATGCACTGATACTCATTGAGTGTGAAATTCATACCCATAATAAATCAGTCGAGTTGCCTTTACTAATCATGTCTTATACTTCCTTCATGTCTGTTTATGTTTGGCCTATTTGTCTGTGAAAGGTTGTAGGTGGTTTACTAAAGTTTCTAAATATTATCAGGTTTCCATCTTTCTACTCGCCATGGGTGTTCCCTCTTATGTGAGCTTTGCTAGTGTCTGCCTTAAGCTGCAGTCCGGGCAACCTTAACTCCATTCTATGTAGCCACAGACTATAGTACTTATGACCATAAACCTAGAAGCAGAATGTCAGAATTTGTTCACCTCTACCACTTCCAAGTTGTGCGATTTAGGGCAAGTCTGTAAAACATCTCTATGTCTGAGTCCGTCACAATATAATGGGTGCAATCATAGGAACCATCTTGCAATCATAGGAACCATTGTGAAGATCAAATAAGTTACTACACGTGAAACCTTTATAACAAAGTTCAGCACTTAGGAAGTAAACAATAAATATTAGTTATTTTTATTGTTTTTATTTTTTTAGTTCATTTTTTAAAAATGTTTTATTTATTTCTAGGAGAGAGAGAGAGACAGCATGAGCAGGGGAGGGTCAGAGAGAGAGGGAGTGACAGACTCTGAAACAGGATCCAGGCTTTGAGCTGGCAGTCAGCACAGAGCCCGACGCGGGGCTCGAACCCACGAACAGCGAGATCATGACCTGGGCGAAAGTCGGACGCTTAACCGACTAAGCCACCCGGGCGCCCCATATTTTTTTAGTTCATTTTTTGAGAGAGAGCGAGCGAGCAGGAGCGGGACAGGGAGAGGGAGAGAGAGAGAGAGAGAGAGTGAGAGAGAATCCCAAGCAGACTCTACACAATAAGTGCAGAGCCTGACATGGGGCTTGAACTCACAAACTGTGAGATCATGATCTGAGCCCAAATCAAGAGTTGAACACTTAACTGGCTGAGCCACTCAGGTGCTCCTATAAGCTATTTTTAATATGTCTTATATTTGCCAATACCCCTTTGAGATTTTGGCAACTTATTGTTGGCCAATTTCACCCTCCATTGTTGCTGAACATTGTCATTGCCTCTTCCACCCATGAGCCTTTGAGGCAGACTGCTGCAGGATGACTTTGGGACCAGGATGGCAGTCTGAAGATGTCCAATGAGCACAGAAAGCAGCTTTCCGAGTTTCCAAAGTCTTTCCACTCTTCTTGTGCCTCTTTCTTAGGATGTTCACCACGACCAGGGCTTTAGAAGAGACTCTACTCCAGCACTTCATATACCAGAAGCTGGAGATTGCCTATGCCATATACAAGCCATTTCCCTTCCTCGAAGGCCTCCGAGACAACTCCTTCATCACTGAGACAATGTACAGGGTGAGTTGCGCTGACTGCTTTTCCATGGCAGCCCAGCCCCCACTAAGAATTCCCAATTACTGAAGTTTCAAACCACAAATCCTTAGAGCTTGGATGGTCTAGTTCAAAATGTTTATTATCAGGGAAAGACGGGGTCACAGGGACTGCCATGCAAATGACATCACCCCAGGTGCCTTAACGCAAGAGAAATTTATTCCCTCACAGTTTTGGAAGCCAGAAGTACAAAATCAAGGTGTTGGCCATGTTGGTTCTGGAAGCTCTGAGGGAGAGTCCATTCCCTGACTCTCCTACCTTCTGGTGGTACCAGAAATCCTTATAGAAACCTCACTTTCAGTCTCTGTTTCCATCTCTAAATCAATCTCTCCATCAGCTTTTCCTTCTTTCCTCTTTTCTTCTTCTCTTCTAAGGACACTTGTTATTGTGAGTTACAGCCCACCCTAATGCAGGATGATCTCATCTCAAATCCTAACTTCATCACATCTGCAAAAACGTTTTTTCCAAATACGGTCACATTCACAGGTTTCCAGTGGATTCATCTTTTTGGAGAGGTAGCACCATTCACCCCACTAAGGACACCCTCCTAATTCTTCTTTTGTTTTTAAATTTTAATGTTTATTTTTGAGAGAGAGACAGAGCATGAGTGGGGGAGGGACAGAGGGAGAGGGAGACACAGAATCTGAAGCAGGCTCCAGGCTCCGAGCTGTCAGCACAGAGCCCGACGCAGGGCTCAAACTCACAAGCTGTGAGATCATGACCTGAGCCGAAGTCAGACGCTTAAGCAACTGAGCCACCCAGGCTCCCCTACCCTCCCAATTCTTAAGAGCTTGTTGCAAGCAGTCCATTCAGACTTGAAGCAAAGCAGGCATTGGAGGATATGTCTTATGGACAAAAATGGCATTCTTTTTTATGATTTTTGTTTTTTATGCCTTTCCTGAGCCCTAGGCCCAGGGAAGGTTAACAGTAGTTGAACAATCTTCTCTCAGGGTTGGCCTGGTTGGCTCCAACCCCTCTTCAGGTCATAGCCTGGATATCATTCCTCAGAGAGGATTCCTTAATCCACTCATCTAATTGATTTCTCACAGAAATCTGTGCTTTCTCTTCATAACACTTCTCTCAATAGCAACGAGACATTTCTGTAATTTTTGTTTAATTAATTAAACAATTAATTGTGTTTATTATTTAATGCCCATCTTCTCCATCTGACAGTGTCCCTCTCCCAGTATGGGTAGCACCATGTTGATCTTATCTACTGCTATGTACCCAAGGACAAGCCTAGTAGGTGTTCAGTTAAGTGTTGTGCAATCAATTCTCTCCCGCAATGTTTCTCCTTTTGACCAACCTCTCAGGAAGAAGAGTTCTCTGGATGATTTCCCTGTGGCTAGAACCCATTCAGGCCATCACAAGTCAGAGAGAGAGAGAGAGAGGCTAACAAACAATCAACAGAATTGCCACTTGTAACCAACTAATTGGTCCATTGCTACAGAGTTCTGCCCAGAGCCTGAGAGACATAGTTACACAGTAGCAGCCTTTAACTACCTTCCCTTCCCTAAGATTTCTCTCTTCCCTTAAATGTACCTAAAATACGGTTCAGAAAGCAGACTTATTTTAAAGATGGCTAAGTTATTTATTCCTATGACCAACCATCCAAATATAGGTGAAGTTCTGAAAGTAAATATGTGGAACTGTGACTTCTCTGCTTTAGAGTCTGACTATACATTTGTGTTAAATTCTTAAAAGAACAAAATATTAGTCTTACACCTTAGAAAACCACAAATGTAAAATAACCTTCCAGTCCATTTTATAATCATTTATCATAATCCTTGATTCCATTTTTTAAGGAGTCCATGGAAGCCTACAGAAATCAGGTCCCTATAACGAGAGTGGTGTACAACATCCTCACCCACCTGGAGAAGATGTTTAATCTGTCATTTCTGCAGATGTTGTTCAGCCGAATTAACCTGCGTGAATACCCCAACCTGATGACGATCTTCAAGAGCTTCAGAAGTGGTACGAGTCTTCTCGAATATCTTTTGGGCTATAGGAGCAGAGACCAGAAGTTGCTTTGCTCAAAGAGTGAATTGGCTTTCAGGCCCGTGGAATGTGCACCTCAACTGCCTGGTTCTCTGGGGAGAGATGGAGCCTACTCTCTCACAGTGCGGCAGGAAGCTCAGTCTCTGGCTCCAGTTCTCTAAGATGAATTTCTAGAAGACGCAAACATTTCTGTCTTACCTGTTCTATGAAGTGGGGGAAAGCTGTACAGTTTAGTACCCTGGACAGTCTCTAGGGAATGCGTAATGTGACGGAATTGTGGTTGCAAAGACTCAGTCTGGTGGGAGGATTGGAGGACCATAGAGGAAGAGAAATGAATAGGGATGGATAATAAGTATCTCTCTCTCTCTCTTTTCGAGTACCTACTATATACCAGGCATCATCCCAAGCACTGTATAGGGTTATCTCATATTACCTTTAAAACAACTCTGTGATGTCATTATCATCCCCATCTGACATATGAGGAAAGTAAAGCTCAGAATATCTTTCCCCAGGTGACTTGTCTGTGACAAGCAGAGCCAGCCACCCTACTGGGTCTCCTAACCTGGGGCTTGAGCTCTCAATCCCTCTTCTAAACAAGTGGAAGGCACAGTGTAAAACTGGAGGAGAGGGGAGAGGGAGCTGGAGACAGAGGGCGTAAGAAGGAAGGGGAAAATTGAAGCACACGGCGAGCAAGAAAGAGCTGGATAAATACAGAGCAGGAGAATCAGCGAGGACGGAGGTGGGTCGAAAGAAGCCAGGGCAGGAGAAACAGGTAGCACCATCATTTTAAGCTTGAGGATAAACACTTTGGCCAAAGCACATGGTTCACTTCCCCAAGAACAACAGGAAGAAGCCCAGCAGTTCACAGGACACTGTGACATTATTGTGAGTGTGGTCACCATTGTTGACGGCAAGAGGTTCCTTCCCAAAAGGAGAAATGGCTCCTTGAGCTAAAGGGGCAGCAGGACACAGGCGCACGTGGACCCGTGCTCCCAGCAGCAGCCGGGCAATGTGGGGAGGCCTGTGTTCTCAGGGGCTTCGCTGCGTCAGTCTGAGAGCCAGAGACACTGCACACTGCTGTGCTTCCTGGCCTGGCTGCGCTCAAGGGTCTCTGTATCTGGAACCCTATGCTCGTGTTCTGAGCCCCTCTCCGAAATCCCAGCTTACTTTCCTTTTTCTGTTCACTGGTTGAGATGACCTAACTTCTGAAATAAATGATGGGGAAGAATCATAAGAAACCTGGCCACAGAAGGAATAGTGTGCAGAAAGCCAAGGGCCTGGGGTATGGAGGCTGGTGAGGAAGTTGGGTGTGGCCCACCCCAGGGTGCAAGGCAACGAGGCACAGACACTCAGTCTGCAGACATGAACAGAAACCAAAGTAGACAGAATGTGCCACGTGAAGGAATTTCTATTTTATCTTATTTGCTACAGGGAGGTGTGATGTGTTTCCTTTTTAAAACAGGGACATGTATTCAAATTACACCATTGTACAAGATAGTCTAAATTCTGAAACCAAAATTAAGGAAAAACTAAAGAATATTAAATCCTGGACGACTAAGTCAAACTCAGCTTTATGTGTGAAAAGACTTTTCTCTTAGTCCAGAGGTTGAATACAGTTATATTCATACTGAATGTCCCAAACCAATCGCACAGAATAGAAACGGCCACAAGTGGATGCTGCTGCTGCTGCTGAATCAGTTCTCTACACCTCGGGGAGAATGAGCCACTCCTTGCCCCTGACCCTTTGAAAGTCATGTGTGAAGAAATTCCCTCCCCCAAATAATTTATTTTTTAATTTTTAACCTTCTTATTTATTTTTTTGAGAGAGAGAGCATGAGTGGGGGAGGGGCAGAGAGAGAGGGGAACAGAAGATGCGAAGCAAGGTTTGTGCTGACAGCAGAAAGCCCGATGAAGGGCTCGAACTCACAAACTGCGAGATCATGACCTGAGCCACTCAGAAGCTCAACCTACATAGCCACCCAGGCACCTCTCCCTCCCCCCAAATAATTTGGAGTCCCCAGGGTGTTGATGTGTGCTCCTTCACCAATCCCAGTTGTCATTTCCTATGGAGGATGGAACAGAGCTGGGCCTACCCTCCTTGAAGCCCCAGCCAACTCAACAGAAGGGGGCTCCCTCCAGACCCTGCTGTCACTGCCCGCACCCCAGCACCCACTGCAGAGCCTCCCGCCCCGTGCACCCAGTGTCAGCGAGCCCAGTGCCTCCACCCAGCAGAGCGGTGAGATCCGGGGTGAACCACCCAGCCCCCCTGGCCCTGCTGTGGCCCTCCCCAGAGCCGCCCAGGAGGGAAGAATCACTCCAGGTGAGAAACAGACCTTGTTCAACACCTGTGTATCCCCACGCAGTCATGTCCAGGGCTCTGGGGTCCCACCCTTTGGCTAACCCGGTCCATCCCAGGTGCAAGCCTGCCACACACAACCCTTTCCAAGAGGGATAATGGGCACTTCCAGGGGCCTGGGTAATGTCAGGAGCCCGAGCACCTGCTTCCCACCCTTGGAACAGCCTAACCCTCTGCCCTTGGGCCATGATGCTTCTGGCTTGGGTGTTTTAAAACATTTAATCTACTTCTTGACACTCTGTCCCTGGACCCTGTAATGATTTTTCTTCCTCTTTTCAATGACCAATGACAACTGAACATCGCACATAAATGATGAAGAAGACTCACAAGAGATGCCTGGCACTTCTCCTGCCACTGTGCAAGGTACCGTTACTTGGGGCTGATTTAGTTTAGTTCAAAGTGGTTATGAGGGGCAGACATGCACCTGCCAACCCAAGGGCTTGTGGCAGCAGCAGTCCAGGGGACAAAGGACTGAGTGTGACAAAAGAAAAAGAAAACAGGGAGACTGATGCCCTAACTCAATACTGAACTCCTTCTCAGGGATGCCTCCACAATAAGTTTGATGCTGTGATGTCCATCCAATAACAGTGTTCTTAAATGACATGTAACTTGTGCAGTCAAGTGACCCTATGTGACCCTTACTCAATTTCTCAGCCTCTGATTAGAGGGCCTTTCAGTTTCAACTATATTCATTTTAATACGGCTTGGATTCTAAGATTAGTGGTATTGAAACTATTAGAAAAGGTGATAAAATATTTAAAGATCTGCTGGACCTGACTTAGCTTCTAAAATTGTTTCTAATCTCCACCAACCATCATTATCAAGGACTTTTATTACATTAAATATAACCATGGAGTACTAGCAGGTGCTGCCAAAAATGGTCTCATGGATTCTGAGCTCTCCAATATTGAGAATAAAGGGCTCTATTTGATTCAAATGTTTCCTTCACTCCTCTAATACATACCATCCAAATAAGATCAACATAATCACGAAGCCAATAACACTGGAAGATTCCATCTGCTAGATTAGCAAAAGAGAGAAATGATTAAATTATTCAATTAGTAAGTAGTGAATCACTATATTGTACACCTGAAACTAATATAACACTGTATGTTAACTACACTAGAATTTAATTTTTTAATAATAAAATAGTAAAAAAATTAGTAAGTAGCTAGTTGATTGTCGACTCCCTTTCTTTGCCACCTTCACTGGGCCTTGGTGTTCCATTGGCTCCACCATGTTTACTGGCTGGAAGAGATTGTTTTTGTTTCTCCTCCCTCTGGTCCCTGTTCATGGTCCTGGGATCTGAAACTTGTCTTCTTCCTCTGCTCAGTGTGTGGTAACCACCTGACCCCCCCAAATAAAAGATAAGGAAATTCCCAAGAGATGCCTCACCCTCCCTCAGGCCAGGTAATGGTAACTTTCGCTTGCCTTACTTTCCATGCCTACCAAGAGGAGAGGCCGTTTGGATCTTCTCAAGACAGGGCTCTGCTTGCCACTCTCGACCACCACCTTGGCCCACCTTCCAGATGCACACTTAACCCTCAGGAGCTTAGACAGGCAGGAGACCCTGGGGAAGGCAAGGGAGATGAGTCTGGGAAAGGTAGACTTGGAGCAGGAGCATCGAAGATGAGAGAGCCCCACTAGCACCCACAGGACCTAGACTACAAACATCACTAGGAGGTCTACTAAGGGAGACAATTCATCTGCCATGAGGGCTGGGCAGGAACCCTGCGGATGGGAGAGGGTACTGAGTCAGAGCAGAATTGTGTAAGTCAGCCACACCCTGAGGTCACTGCAGTAAGACAAAGCTCAAAACTGCTCCATCCAAATGCAAAGCAAACCAAAACACTGGGTGACCCTGACACTGGATGTCAGATGTGGATGGTTCTTTTTCTGAGCCCCAATCTTGACTGTGGAGAACTTTCACCTTCAATCCTCATCATTTCTATATTATTTAGATTTTTTTTAATGTTTTATTTATTTCCAGGAGAGAGAGAGAGAGAGAGAGAGACAGCGTGAGCAGGGGAGGGTCAGAGAGAGTGGGAGTGACAGATTCTGAAACAGGCTCCAGGCTCTGAGCTGGCAGTCAGCACAGAGCCCGACGCGGGGCTCGAACCCACGAACCGCGAGATCGTGACCTAAGCGAAAGTCGGACGCTTAACCGACTAAGCCACCCAGGCGCCCCTATTATTTAGATTTTTAAGAGTTGATTAAAATAATTTGAAATGCAACAGATTCTTTAAAATGTCTAATGACTGCTTGCCATGTGCCTCAGATACCTATTCCTAAGGAGGCCAAAATTTGAAACAGATCTCATTGCACCATGTAAACAAGAAGAAGGTAGCAGCCTTACTTGAGATTTGCTATAGCTTCAAACCCTTCTGTCTTAGTGCAGCAAAAACAAGACCTTTACAATTATTTATTATTAACAGGTGCTGGCAAATAAAGGCTAGCTCCTGCTTTCTTGTACACAGAAATATGTAAGGCACTTAGCCTCCTTCATTATTTTTCAAGGTGAAGTAATGATAAAGAGAGAAGTTCGAAAATATCCATTTACAAATCTTTAAGGACTAACATGTATTTTATCTGGCAAAGCCATTCCCCTTCACTGAAGCCAGTGACCTTGACCAGAATTCAGGATCAGCACTCCCAATGTTCACAGTCTTATACCCTACAGGAAGGTTGCTGAGGGTCCTTATTCTTCTCTTCCACTGAGTAAGGGGAGTCCCTCAAAATCGGTGAAACTGAGCCCTCTTCTGAACCCTGGTTCACCGGGATAGCCACGCTGGTTACTCTAACTGCAAACTGATCAAATCAAACTAGAGCAGACTTTCCCTCCTGCCTGTTACAAGCTCTGAATTGAATTTTGTTTTCTTTGATAGAGATAAGAGATGACTCACCTGAACCAAATGACCCCAAAGAGCCCCAGGAGGCATCCAGCACACTTCCCAACAAGAAAGGTAAGGAAGGGTTGACTTTCTCCTGTGGACTTCAGGAGCATAAATGTGGAGCGGCTTTCTGTTTTTCTGGTCATATTTTGTCAGAAGCACCCACCATGTGATTGGAGTCACGACGCTCATTACAGTTTGTTTCTGTAGCTCCCATTCACTGCATCTTCCTTGAAGGGCTTCATGAAGATCGTAGGGAAACCAGACAGCAATGGGGCCATTGAAATATGTATCCATTGCAATTGCCTGCTCTGAAACCATCAAGGTTTACTTTACCCACAACTTCTTGGAAAGTTAGTCACACCTCCCTCTTTAACTGAAAGTTGGCTCCCTGAAAGGACACTGCTTTCTTGTAAGCAAGACTGCATATTATCTGCTATCACCCACCTCATGGTGGAAGACAGGGTGGATGTCCACCGCTTGCTACATACTACCCCTGAGTAGCCCTTTGCTTCTCTGTCCTCCATTTGAACAAAATGCTCCCTCTGTCTTAATCACTGTCATCCTTGACTTGTCCTCATTCCCCAGCAGACCTCAAAGCCTAACTTAAATTTGTCTGTCAGTTCAAGTCCTAGAACCATCCTGGACACCTTCAAGGTACACGGGGTTAACAGACCCATCCAATACTCTGGCCTCTCAGGACCTTCCTCTGCTCTTTTCCAGTGACTTTTTTCTGCACCACTTCTTGGCCTCCTGCTCCCAAAGATAACCTGTGGGTCCTCTCATCATTGAAGCCTGGCTTGACCTCCCAATAATTAATTTCAGACTCTTCTTCTTTTTTTGGACATCTAATCCTTGAAGTCTTCTCCTTCTACAGCTATTGTTTAACCTCTGAACTCTCCTTCCCATCCCAATATTAAACAACTAATTCGCAACTATCCTTGTCTGAGTTCTCCCTTGCAATCTGTTCCCTCTGTAGTTGTCCTTCAACCTCACTTGGATGACCAATCCACTGGCCTTTCCCTTTTCTGGTTCATCATAAGTCTCTCTTCATGCCCTTCATACCAGGTTAGAATCCATAATCCATTGCTTCAGCAACTTATTGCTGATATCTTAATCAGCCTTGACACTGTCTTTTCCTGGAACTCTCTGGCAGGTCTTCGAGAGACCTCTTATCTGCTTCCTACACCCTGGATATGAAGGCAGGCACTGCTGGGAAGAGTCGCACAGCAGGGCAGAGCGCATGGGCTGTGTCTTCATGAGCCCAAAGTAAATGGTCCTTCTACACCGCATGACAATTTCACTTCCTGCAATGATCCTGTCCAACCCTGAGCTTTTTTTTTTTTTTTCCAAACTGCTGACCCCGATCCCCCCCACCTCCTTTTCTTAACAGACTACTTTTCCTCATACTTCACAGAAAGGTATTGGGTGGGAATTCCGGCACTTCCTGCTACCAGCCTGCATTTGCCCCTCCTCTACAAAGGAGGGCAAATCCTTTCTCAAAGGCAATCCTTCTACCTCCCCTGACTGTGTCCATGACCCCTTCTCTCTCCTGAGAATTCAGCATCTCCCTGTCATGGGATCTGCATTCAGCCACTGCCCAAGCCTATCAAAGGAGCTTCCTCTTGATCCTCAGCTCACTTCACCTGCTTCCGTAGCTCTCTCTTCCATTTCACAACCAAACTGCTAGAAATAAGCTGCTTAAACTGTTGTCTGCATCTATTCACGTCTGTCTCTCGCATGCCGCTTTATAATATCTTCTCTGTCATTAATCCATGAAGCGGCATCACATAAGGTCACCAATGACCTCCTTGCCACTATGGTTTGAAGACCAAAAGTGAAAGCTGAAAATTGTTGACATATAAGATTGGCAGATCTATGTTTGTAGCCATGAAAAGATTATCTATACCTTTTCTTTTTTAGGAAAGAAAAGAAAAAGAAGTATCTGGTCAACTCCAAAAAAGAGACACCAGAAAAAAAGCCTCTCTAAAGGTAAGATGAGAGAACAAGAGGAGGTGGGAGGCTGCAGACAGCTCATGCTTGTAGGTCAAGGTGTGCGAAGTTGAATTTTATTCCAAATGAAATGAAAAGCCATTGAAGAGATCCAATCAGTGGAGTGACATGATCCCCTTTTACATTTGACAAGAACGGTTTTGGTTCAGTGTAAAGGATTAATTAGAAACAGAAAAGAATAGAAGCAGGACAACCCTTTGAGGGGGGAGGATGCCATGCAAGTTGATAGAACTCTGCATTCAGATCAGGTAGAGGAGATAAGGGCCAGTTCAAGAACAGCTTGGAGGGAGTTGACAGAACTTGATAAATTGGGAGCTGGGGAAGAGAGAGAAACCAAGTCTTGCTCTTCAGTTTCTGACTTGAATGGCTGGGTGAGTGGTGGTGTACATTGCTAAGGGAAGGTACAAATAATTTAGGAGGAAATTTTAGAATTTCCCATTTTTGACCTGTTCACTTTAAGATTTATGCTAGTTGTCTATGCCCCAGTGTCATGTTTTATCCAAAACTGTGAAGGGTCTGAGATGGTACCCCACTTGCATAGGGCCATTCTTTGTGTATATGACCAAGCAGGAACCCCAGGCACCTGGATCAGGGAAAAGAATTCCTTATTGACATTCACAACGAGCAACAGCCAGAGTCACATTGCATTATCTACCCCCAAATGCAGACCCACAAGCAATGAGAAGAGAGCTCATGGAGTCCTTCTGAGAGGCAGATGATATCCTATAGACAAGGGACAGAGAATGATGGATAATCCATTTATAGACAAGACAAGGAAGCCATCTTCCTCCTCTCCTGAAAAAATGGGGGAAAAGACAAAAAAACAATGACCAAAAACAAAAACAAAACAAAAAAACTTTGCAGCTTTGAGATAAGATTGAACTGATCCTCAATCCTCACCCTAATCTTTTGGAATTTAAATGCCTCTTTCTAAGAGGCAGAGAAACCCCAGGTGTTTCCAGCTTTTACTAAAGATGTCTCCACATTCTGGGCTTCATCCCTGTTGATGTGTAAATACCTATGGAGAGAGGGCTCCAGTAATCCTGGTACTTTGGGACTTAGCCTAGGAAGCTAGTCCTGCTGTAGGCATTTGGCAATCTCAGGAGAGGAGAAGTTTTATTATCCTTTTGGATCAGACAGCAGTTTACTAGCTACAGATCTCATTCTCATGGTGTGTGAAAAGCGAAATGTTTCCAGGGATGTGAAAGCAAGCATTCCCCGTCTTTATTCTGTGTACATTTTCATGCCTCAGGAGGCTAGAGCTTTTCACAAAAGTACTGAGAAATCAAGGGAGCTTAATTTCCCCCACAATATGCCTATCCGGCACTCAATAAAAACATCAAATCCAAAGATATAAATAGGAGTCCTCGGCAAAATGAAGGTATCCAGATTCATGGGAAAGAAACCTAACTCTTACACCCTCCCCTCTGTCATCATCATCATCAATCCTCTTTCCTAGCCTCACACTCCACCACACGGCCCCTCAGTTCTTTGACACCTTGCATTTTCCCCACTAGAGGCCCCTGGGGACCTTGGATCTCTCCTGATGTTCCTGCGTTCCTGAGGAACCTGGAGAAGTCCTTTAGGACACTCCTCCCGTGCCAAAAGAGGCCACGTGGCCATTTTTACTTAGATGTGGGCACCTCCAGGAAGAAGGTGTCAAACAGACAGGACCCAGGAAAGAAATCCCATTGCTCTGGGAGTCTGGTTAATTTCAACAGGCTGCACAGGGCTGAGAGCAGATGTTGAATCAAAGGGAGAAAGAAAGGTGCACATAAGACAAAAGATATCACTGCAGAGAAAGAGCAGGAGAGAAAAATGAAGCACAGGGATACAGAGATCTCAAAGTGTGGGGGCTGGGGGCACGGGAGAGGGGGAGGAGGAGCTTCACTGGGCCCCCCAGTGAAAACCATTCACTATCTATTTGGCTCAGGGAGAGCCTCGCCTGAACACAGAATCCAAGAGAAGCTCCGAGTGGTGGATCAGACAACTGAAAGGAAGGACAATTCAACCAGGAAATCAAAGGTCGTGACGACGGTCCAAAAGGCAAAGACGGGATGTACCCAAACCTTTGGACCAGAGGGTAAGGCTGGTGACTGAATTTGTCATTACTGCTCCATGTGGGAGGGTATCTCCCCAAGGAGGCCCAGCATTGGGTGGACGTGTAAAGGGAGGAGAGGTGCAAAGAAAGACGGTGAGGTGTGTGTGGCAAGAGGAACATTTGAGGAGATTTTGTGCAGAAACAGCTGTGTCCACAGGGTACAGCTGAGGTCAGCTATGGCCTCAGGCAGTCTTTTTAGTTTAGGTCGTTTATCTATATGTACTTCATCAGAAATTAAAAACCAATCATTTAAAAATATTTATGTGGGCAGCTGGGTGGCTCAGTCGGTTAAGCGTCTGACTTCGGCTCAGGTCATGATCTCATGGTCTGTAAAGTTCAAGACCCCCATTGGGCTCTGTGCTGACAGTTCAGAGCCTAGAGCCTGCTTCAGACTCTGTGTCTCTTCTGTCTGCCCCTGCCCCGTTTGCACTCTGTTTCTCTCTCTCAAAATATTTTAAATAATATTTTATTTATTTAAAAATAATTTTAAATAATTAAAATAATTTTAAATAATTAAAATATTTTTAAAAATTAAAAATATTTATGTTAATTCATTTGAAGGTAACAATAATATACCAACTACTTGTTAACCTAAAAACACATTTTATGAAAGATAAATATATTTCCCAACTAAAAAAATTGGTGAGAAGACCGGCAGCATTTTACATTTTTTGTAAACCTCACTAAGCGTCCAGTTTGATCAAAGACAGCTGGATTTGTATAGCTGCTTCTCTATTCGATTGGTTGGGGTATTTTGTTTCATGCAATAAAAGAAAGATAATCAAACTTTACAAGGATCTGTAGTTTAAAAGGATGGAGTATCTAAACAGCTTTTTGAGGTATCTGTGTGTGTTCGCCTTTAATATTGCACCCAGTACAATGCATTATGCGGTCTTCCATTTTGTTTTATTTTATTTAAATGATTTATTTATTTTTGAAAGAGAGAGAGTGTGTGCAAGCAGGGGAGGGCCAAAGAGAGAGGGGGACAGAAGATCCAAAGCAACCCCAAAGCAGGGCTCAAACTCATGAACCATGAGATCATGACCTGAGCCAAAGTCAGACTCAAAATAGGAGCCACCCAGGCACCCCTATGCTGTCTTGCATTTTATTTTATTTATTCAAAAAAATTTTTAATGTTTATTTATTTTTGAGAAAGGCAGAGAGACAGAGTATGAGTAGGGGAGGGTCAGAGAGAGAGGGAGACACAGAATCAGAAGCAGGTTCCAGGCTCTGAGCTGTCAGCAGAGAGCCTGACGCGGGACTCAGATTCATAAATGGTGAGATCATGATCTGAGCCAAAGTCAAACGCTCAACCTACTGAGCCACCCAGGTGCCCCTGTCTTGCATTTTAAATGAATCGTCTATTTAGGCAGGATTTTATAATATCATGGACACTTGAAAAATATGGGTTCCCTGAATTATACAGTGAGCTTATAGCTCAATGACACAAGTAGTTTTCTTGAGACATTTGTGCTTCAAGATATAACAAACTGCTTTATATGGATGCCCCAGTTTTTCACATAGACTATTAAGAAGATGTACACTCAGGGGGAGAAATGTAAGAAAGTCAATAATTTTAATTGGCCTATCCAGAACATTCTGAAGTGAAACTGGCTTTTTTTTTTTTTTTTTCTTTTACTGGTCTGTGGGAAGGGAGACTGAAGAGGACTGTTCCTTAGGTTTTAGGGGCCCTGCGTTGATTTGTGGTATGACACCAGCAGCTTTACCTGCTGGGGATCTTGCTCCATGTGAGCACATGTCAACATAGCAAAAAGGCAAAGAGCATCTTAGTATGGGAACAGTTTTGACCTCAAAGATCTCCTGAAGGGGCTTCCGGGACACCCCAGGGATCCAGGACCTCACGTTGAGGCTCTGGTTCAGGGGCTCAGATGACAGCCCCTCACTGGATGTCTCCATTGGCAGAGGACACTCTGTTGCCCAGCCTTGCTCTGCTCCTCCCCAGAGTGGCAGACAGACCCAGGGGTGGATGCATTCTCAGGAGGGGTCATGGAGGCTCAAGCAGTACCCAGAACCTCTAGCCGTCAGGGCAATGGTCTCTCCTGGGACTCCAGGAAATTCCTATGGAACGCTCCAGGGGCATTTTCTGAGATCTCAAAGGAATGTTGTTGTTTTTCAGAGATCAGTGATGACTGTTCAGAAATGAATGAAGAAAAGAGACCCCAGGAGCCGCCCAGCACACCACCAAGCATCGTGCATGGTAAGGATGAGGGATTGCAAGTCTCAGAGAGTAGTCCTCAGGAGCTGGGGTCCAGCAAGCAGGTCTGTATTGCCACTAAAGGAAAGAGGCAAGGTCAATGAGGGCACATTTCTTCCATTGAAGGATACTATATGCAGGCTGAATTTAGTAATTCTTTTGCCATTTTGTTGCTAGGAGTTACTTGACTACACCTTACTGAGAAGGAGGTTGGGAAATGCCATTTTTATTCTAGGACCGGCATTAGTGGCCTGATAAGTAAGAAAAAGGGAGACCAGAGAAAGATGAACAACCAGCAGTACCTGCCCTTGGTCAGCATTGCTAGTGCTTTCCATTATTTCCAACTCTCTTCCCCTCCCCGGACACTGCATTTCCCAGCCCCTTGCAGGAGATAGGGCCATGATCACAGGTCTGGCCATGAGCTGGTGAGAGTGTCACAGAACACAGAGTCAAAACACAGAAGAGCCACTGGATAGCTCTCCACACCCCCTGCCCCTGACTGTGGAAGTGTGTAGACGAGGGAGGTGCTGGGAGGCCAAGACAATATGGTTCTCGGCACTTCCGCAAAGGATGCTGGGAGATGCCAAGTCCTACAGAGAGCTCTGAGTGACTGAGAAATACATTGTTACATTAAGCCAGCAAAATTTGGTTTTGTCCGGACTGCAACATAGCCTATCCTGTCCTGTGTGATACAATGTTCCCAATGAAATCTGCAGAATCTGTACAGGAAGTTATTAATCAGATAAAAGTCCTGTTTTATCTGCTTCCTCCACTTTATTTCTATACCTTAGAAATATGCATACATTTATCTCATTATAAATAGATAGCAGCTCACACTATATCGTTTATCAATAGTTTTTTCACTGTATATTTAACACACATATCTGCATATCAATGCTACCTTTTTTCTTTTACTTACATAGCATATTATTGTATAATTAGCAATTTGTTTCAATAATCATCTATATGATGGACAGTTAGCCTATTTCCTATTTTTATTCAAGATAAAATAGCAATCAGGTTAGCATGTGTTTGTACCTTTGCACACATGTCCAATGGTTTCCTCAGAATTAATTTCTAAGAGTGAGATTACCCGGTTAGAGTCTGCATATCTTCGATTTCATATATGTCAGTGAGTTGTTCTTTAGAAAATGGAGTTTGGGTTCCCTTTGATAATATACAAGTAATCATGTGCTACATCCTCATCAACACAAGATTGGATAAAACCTTTTCAAGGATGGGTATCCATAAAACCAAACAATGCGATTTTTTCATGATTGGTGGCCTAAAGAAAATTTTTAAATAAATTTGTCATTTGTATTTCCTCTTTGAGTATTTTCAACTTATGTTCTCTGCCCATCTTCCAAGTGTTCTATTTCTCTTTTTCTTTATCTATTAAGGATATTAAGCCTCTATATTTTACATATTATACTGCAATTTTCCCCAATTTTTGTCTTAATATTATGAGAATATTTTTTGAAGTGTGGAAATTTTTAATTTTTTAAACAGTGAAGTCTGTTCATCTTTTACCTTTATGATTTGGGGTCTCGCATTTTGACTAAAGGAATCTCTTCTATCTGTGGCTTATAACAATCTCTATTTTCTTTTGAAAAACTGGCTATTAATTTGAAAAATGGCATATTTTACATGTTAATAATTTAATGTGCCTATCCCTTCTTTGTTCAATCTTTTTTTTATTTCTAAGTAAAATGGAGTACTGTTTTTACACAAATAAATTTATTATAAAATATTGACCTCTCAAGCTTATAGATCAATATTTATAGCCATAAGAGATTATTTTTTTTCTTATTTTAGGAAAGAGGGAAAAATATAACCTGCCGACTTCAAAAATAAGACAGAAATAAAGGCTCCCAAAAAGTAAGCAAGGAGAGTGGAGTCATTATTCCTTGTTTGTCCCTTACCTAATGACCAGCGTGGCCTCCTCTCCAGCCACATGGCCATCTGGGTATCACTGGAGCATAGTCAGCTCCACCCCTGCCTCCTTGGACACCACTCCTCACGAAAAGAGGAGAACCCAGAACCACGTTGGTTCCAACAGACTTCTTTTCTCTTATCATTGGGAGAAATAAGGTGGAAGTGGACAAGGGTAACAGACAGTTTGAGATTAGGATGGCGTCTAGTCTGGCTCAGGGCCAGGATGAGTAGACAAGGCAATCCTAAACGGGCAGACAAGATGCAGACTTCCAGTATCACACCGGAGCTGGATTTGGAGTCACTGAGCATCCACACCCACCTGAACTGACTCATGCCTGCTTATCACGTGTCTACTCTGTGCAAAAATCGCATTATTTGCAGTATAGGAAACAAAAATTTATGAAGCTGCATTTTCTGGTTCCTCTGCTTTATCTCTCTGTTGTCCTCACCACCCCGTTCTCCTCTCATGAACTCTCTTCCCCCCACCTTTCTCCTTCCCTCTTTCTTCACTCTTTTACTCAACACTGTGTTCCCAGGGCCCAAGGTATGCCAGTCAGTGGGACTTCCCTTGAATTCTGGGCTGTTGTGTGAGCACTCTGGGAGGGCATTTCCCCTCAGCTCCCAACACGCATCATGACATGAGTGTCGCTGATCTGGACATGCTCTAAAATTTCTTGCCTGTTTTCAGTGCCTCTCAGTCCCTACGGGGGACTCAGATCTACTTGCTTGCCCTCTTCTTCCCCATATGGTTTCCTCCCTATTTCCAACCCCATTGCCTTCCTGGGCTGGAGGAAATTTAGCCTTTGTCATATACCGAGTTTTCTTTACCAATGACTTCTAGGAAAACTTCACATTTAGACCTCCAAACTTGTATTGTTAGATTATAAGGGTAATGTTTGGAACTTAGAAATCTCTTGGGCTCTCAACAAGTACCGCAAGATTTTGTGTAAGGTCTCCAAAACAGTCTCAAACTGAGCACTGACATCTCAGTTGACGCCAGCATCTTTGTGCTTTCCCAGAAACTTAGTGAGTTAATAATTAGGGAAGCTGGGACATTGTGATTTACAAGGATAGGAAATACATCATTTTGATATTTTCAAAAATATGCTCCCCTTCTATGATCAATCAACAAACGTGGATGGAGTGTGAGGTCTGTGTCAGGCACATGTCCCTGGTCCTGCAGACTCAGCCGTGAGCAAAGCCCAAGCATCTCTGCTCTCATGGAGCTTACATTCTAGTTGATGCATGTATAATTAATAGACAAAAAGAGGAGTTGAAAGGGAGAAAAGGAAACAGGATGCAGTATTGAAGAAAAAAAGATTCAGGAAAGAAGAGGAATAATTATAAGAAAATAGCAGATAAAAGTGTACAAGGGTTCAAGAATTTCCTGAAAGGTTGAGGACTGGGGTATGAGAGGGGAAGTCACTAACAGGGAGAGGAGGAGGTTCACTGGGGACCCCAGTTTAAACTATTCATAAATCCCACAAGCAGCCTCACCTGAACACAAAATCCAAGAGAAGCTTCAAGTGGTGGATCAGACAACTGAAAGGAAGGATGATTCAACCAGGAACTCAAAGGTCATGACGAGAGCCCAAAAGGCAAGGACTGGATGCACCCAAACCTCTGAACCAGAGGGTAAGGCTGGTGACTGATTCTGCCATGGATGCTCTGCGTGGGAGGGTTCTCTCGCGGGGCAGACATGGGGTTGGGTGGATGTGTGAAGGAAATAGTAGAAGAAGGGAGTAGTGCAGAAGACAGCAAGGAGCTTCCGGGCTGGGAGTGGTTGCGGGTAGAAGCCAGTGTGCTCCCAGCATGCAGGGCACCTCCACATGGACTCATGTGACCACTTCCCAGCGTCTACTGTTTACATTTCTATTAGTAGAGTTACCACAGCTCCACTGAGTCTGGGGGCTCCTATCTGGATTCAAGCTGGCCTCATACAAAAAGTGGCATCAATCCTCAAAGTGGACACACTCCCAGGAATGTTTCTTAATGGTTTCTTTCTAGGAGTGAAGTCTACCTATTTGGGATTAGTACATACCAGGGTGCCTGGGTGGCTCAGTTGGTTAAGCATCAGACTCAGTTTCAGCCCAGGTCAGGATCTCACAGTTCAAGGGTTCGAGCCCCATGTCCAGCTCTACACTATCAGCTTAGGGTCTGCTTGGGATTCTCTCTTCCTCTCTCTCTGCCCCTCCTCCACTCTCTCTGTCTCAAAATAAATCAATAAATTTAAAATAAAATAAAACAATAAAAATAAAAATAAAATAAGCACAGACCGATGATCAAATTCTTGCCAGTTTAGACTCCCATTAACATCATTTTCCGTACACCTTCGCCAAAACTAGAAACAATAAGTTTTCTGTGTTGACAGATTAAAGGCAAAGAATGGTATTCCACCCATGTTTTCCTTTGAATTTCTTTGCACCATGCATGTGGTTCAACATGCTGTGGTAGGTTGTATTACTACTCACTGACACCTCAGAAGGGTATATACTCTTGCCATGTGGACTCCAGAATGGCCATGTCACTTGACTTGACCAAGGAAACATGGACAGAAGTGTGAAGAGCACTGAAAAGCCAAAACTTTAAAAGCCTCTGTATCATCTTTCTTTCTGCCATGGGACCAACAATGTTCTAGACAGAGGTTGCTCTGTCCCCAGGATCCATGTATGTCAATAACATGGAACCACACCTAACTTGTGATGAATGAGTAGCACAAGGAGAAGTAAAACTGGGTTGTTCTAAACCAACACTTGGCAAACTTTTTCTAAAAGGGGCCAGATAATAGCTTTGCTGGCCCTGCAATCTCTATTGCAACTACTCAGAACTGCCATTGTAGCATGAAAGCAGCCAGAGACAAATATCTAAATGAGTGCACTTGGCTGTGTTCCAATAAATCTTTATTTACGAAAACAAGCATTGGACTGATTTGGCCTTCAGGCTGTCATTTGCTGATACCTATAATTAACCACTGAAACTTGGGAGAGTCACAATTTATAATAACATCATCTAGCCTATTTCTACTATCTGTTTGTTAAATAATTTTTTCATCAGAAGTTTTTTCCTTCGAGGTTTACCTGTTCATATTTGCCCATTTTTGTATAGAACTATTCATTTTTATTGATCAATTATGAAAATTTACTCTTTGTTATCTTTTTGCAGTTTTTCTGCTTTTGTTTTCGTTTTGTAACTTACTTGAGATATTTTGGGTTGTGGAGACTTTTTTGTAAATTTGGTTAGACAGATCAGTTTATCTTTTTTAAGATGGGCTTATGTCAGTTTCTCAACCTTGACACTTATTAGCATTTGGTGCTGAATAATTCTTTGTCATGAGTGCTGTCCTGTGCCTCATGAGATGTTTGGCAACATCCCAACCATTGGATGCCAGTAGCATCTTCCTTCCACTCATGAGAAACCAGGAGATTTCCCAACATTGTCAAATATCCCCTGGGGGACCAAATCAACCTGCATTGAGAACCATTGCTTTATGTCCTATATTTCTTCCTTAAAAAGTCCTTTCTATGCAATATTTATAAGTACATATCCAGTATCTACTTCTAGTGTTTGTATTAAATACATAGATACACATTATTATATTGATTATTATATATTATATTAATATATATTAACTTATGAAAATATGGCTTCTGTAATATTTTTAGCCTTCCTCTCTGTTAACATGAACTTGCTATGTCTCCATGGTCAATGCTATAATGTTCCTTTCATTTCATAAGACTCACATCTATCTTGTCCCTCCAAAGTGGTAGAAAGACAGAGAAAATTTCTTTAGAATAGTTGATAAGTAAAGCATATAAGTCTATGTTTCCAATTATAAATGACATTAATTTTTTTTTTTTAGAAAAGAAAAGGAAAAAAGATGTCAGTTCGAGTTCAACCAGAAGGTGTCAGAAAAATATTCCCCCAAAGAGTAAGTAAGCCACCTGCTGATTGTGTCCTATCTTCCCCCTCTTTCCCTCTTACCCTTGGCTTCCGCCTCCGAGGTCTCCTTCACCTGCTTTCTCCAGCAGTCTAACAAGGTGCCACACCTGACACTCCAGGTGACACCGGCACATACCTTGCGCTGCATATCTGATTACCTGCTTCTGCACTGGGAGGGATTCTTCAAACAAAATTATACAAGGACCCAAAAGTGATTAAGAGAGAAAGGCCATACCCATGAGTCAAGTTCTAACATAAACTTCTACCTCCTTCATTCTAAAACTTGGTGGAAACATTAATCCAAGCCAGGCCCTAAGGGTGTTCCTACCTCTGGAGAGCTGAGCCTTCTCTTCCTGTAAGAGGCAGGGGTGCAGGCCTGCTGGCTGTGGGTCAGCCCCTTGGCTGGCTTCCGCCCCTTGTTCTCCGCCACCTCTTGGGGCCACTGTCTTCCTCTCTGTCCTCCTCTCTTTTCCCCTCCTCCTTTTCTATAAGCATTCATTTCTCTTCTGCTTTTGTAACACTTCTTCAGCACTATCCCTTCTCACTCTCTCTTCCCTCATTCGGCCCCAGTGACATTGGCATTCTCCCCCCCCAAATTTATTATTGAAGTATAACAAGTGCTACTTTAGGCGGGGTCCTCAGACTGGTGCCATCCACAAGTCTGTTGGCTGCAAGTCTGCAAAAATAAAGAGCTTATAAATCAGCTATGACACTGAGCACCCTGTTTTCACAGCAAGGCATCCTCAGTGGAGATGCCTTATTTCTCTTTGATCAAGCTCCCGTCTTGTCCCGCGCCGGCACATAGAGTAGCACTGGTACGATGCTTAAGAAAGATGCATAAAGGGGGAGGATGGGCACGGAGAGGGGCACTTGTGGGGATGAGCGCTGGGTGTTATATGGAAACCAACTTGACAATAAACTATTTGTAAAAAAAAAAAAAAAAAAAAAAAAAAAAAAAAAAAAAAAAAAAAAGAAGAAGAACAAAGAAAGATGCATAAAGGTACAGCCTGAGGAATTAACACAAAGGAAAAGCTCGCATGTACTTAGCCCCTAGGTCAAGAAACAGAGCACACCATAATCCAATCCCCACCTACACCCCAGGTGTCTTATTTCTCAAAGCATAGGCTCCTTTGACACTGGATGCTTCACCGTCCTTTCCTGCCCAGGGCTTCCTCAGTGTTCCCCACTGCCGGGAGCCGCACCGGCCTCTCTGGATGGCTGTCACAGGAAGGAAATGGCAGTGTCTGCACAGCTACCACCATGAGAAATGAAAACTGGTATCTCCTGCTACTACTGGCTCATGTTGTGCTGGTATTGACCAGGCCTCACAATATTCCATATCAGACCAATATTCTGAACACAGATACCTCATGAGGAAAAGCATATTCCTGCCTTTACACGAGAGATTTTAGATGAAAGCTCTATGGATGATTGTCAAAAGGCTCTTCCTGAGGGCCTTGCAGATCCAAGACTTAGGGGGTTAAGAACACAAGAATTACAACTGAGCCTGACCCTGAGACAAAGAGCCTAATTTAGAGTTAAGGTACAGATAAGGGCAGAACTTAAGCTAATACTTACACCTTCTCCTAATTGGTGATGTACCCCAGTCCCTTCCCCAAGGCCTACTTTCTGCAAACACCCTCCCTTACAGGTGGCTGGGATGAGGACAGATAAGAGTAGCTAAAGCATTACCCACAAACAAAAGGCTGACACATTTAGGGCCTCCATGGTGTTCACACATTCAGCATCAAATAGGTGTCCACAAACAACTCATTAACCAACTCAGAAACATTCATCTGAGAGCCAGACAGAATGACTCTTAGCCCATCTATACACTTAACCTATGACCTAACCTTAGCGTGATTAACTTAGAACAAATATGTATCCCGTCTTTTACTAAGAATACCCTAATTCTCTAGTTATAAGATTTACTTAACCTCACTATAACTGGAATAGTTCTGCAAGAATATTCCTGTAAAACCTGCTTCTGTACACTTTCCAAAGCATCTTATCACAAAGAGTTACCCATTGTAAAAATTCCTTTTTCTGATGTCATGTTACCATTTAACCTATAAATAAAGACACCAAAACCGACAGGACAGAGATGCCTGCCTGGTGATCAGAAAGAATCTCGGGGCTCTCTCACTCTCTCTCTCGCCGACACTGTCCATCCTTCAGGGACCCCTGGACCTGCCGGAGCCGGCCCGGCCTCCAGCACCCCGCTCAAACATCCTTCCCGAAAGCCGACTCCCCTTGTTCTCCTTCTTCCTTTTGCTACACATCCCCAGGACTCGCCTTGAACTAAGCATTCTCTGTCCCAGCAGGCAAGGGCAGGTCTCCCTGACCCGCTTTCGTGGAGCCATGTTTTTTTTCTTCACGGCATTTGTCAAAACTAAAATTAACTGTCTGTGTACATCCTGTTCACCGTGTGAAAGTCTGATGAGGTCAGTAAATGGTCAGTCTTGTTCTTTGGTCTATGCCCAGTGCTCCGTGCCTCACACAGTGTATGCTTAAATAACTGTCCAATCAATACATTATCCTTTCTTCTTCATGAAGTATGAATACATCAGATCCTCCATGTACTCAGACAACGCACTTGTGTGCATTAGAAAAAGTGCCCTTTCCTCAATACACTTTACCTACATCTGTCAGAGCTGACTCCTAAAACCAGGTCCTTTGCTGCCCTCAGCCATAAGGTCCTTGTAGAAAGTATACAGCTCTGAATATGAATCAGAGACCTCCTTAAAGATGGAATCCTTGCTCAGTGTACAACCCACACAACCATATGCAGAGGCCCTGATAAAACAGAAGTGTACACCACTTTACAACTGGCAAAGCACCTTGTTCTACATTTTGCCATTTAACAATCAAATAAGTATTGTTTAGCCCACTTTACAGTTTCAGTTAGAGCATAAAAGACTCGCATGAACTAAAATCAACCTAGGTGTTCTAAATCCAAGTTTTTTGTTCTTTACACTGAAAAAAAATTGCTCCCTGGTCTTTTTAGGAAACATGAGGAGAAGGCACAAATCTAAGCAAACGCTGATAGCTGTCTGACAACATCAGCTTCTTCTGTCTCCTTAGCACTTCCGGCCTGGCTGTGCCTTCTGATTTAACACCGGCTGTCTCTGTGCTGTTATCAACACACAGTATGGAGTCCTGTTGAGGCATTTCTGACAGTATGGAAGGAACTAGAATAGGGGTCCAGCATGTTAGATTCCAATGCCAGTTCCACCTTGTGCAGTGTGGGGATCTCCAGGAATTCTCTCTCCAACTTTGAGTCTGAGTCCCCCATCTATAAAATGAGGGATCACCATCATTGCCTTCCCTTTCCATAGGCTATTGTAAAAATAAACTTCACAATGTGTGCGTGGCCATTACTGTTTCCTTGATCATGGCTTTTTGTCCAACCACCCCATCTACCCACGAACCCTTCATATACAGGCCATGGAGCTCCAGACCCTTCCCCAGGCCATGTCTGTCCGTGTATGATTTTCACCATGTGCCTTCACCCTGTGTTCTGTAAGGATTTCTGAAGTTCATCTACCTGTGAACTTTTTTCTATTCTGTTTTCCTTGTCTCTGTGAGGCTTTCTTTTTGTTTCCTCCACCCTGCTTTCCATTTCCAGGAACTCTCTTTGTTAATTGCTTAGTTTCATAGCAGGCTCCTCATTGTTTGCTCCAGCTTAACACGATCTAACAGATGTGGGAGAGCGCCAAGGAGGCCTTCCCCTCAGGGTTCTATCCTTAAAAGCCTGTTTGCAAGACAGAGCAGGTGAGGCTAAGCCAAATGCAGGATTACAGGAACAGATCAGGAAGCTGGCTCACAGGGCGGTGGCTTTGGAAATACTCGGGACAGAAGATCCTGGCTGACTTGGTGGCCTGCCTGAACCAGGTAAAGGAGGGAGTTCTGCCTGTGCCCACAACTCTGCACCCTGGCTTGCTGCCCAGAACTCCCAGTGCCGCCCACTGCTCCTGCATCTGTTTGCGAGCCTGTGTGGGACATCTGTGTTTTGGGACGTGTACTTATCATAGGGAATTAGTTCCATGAGGCTGACGACTATGGAAGGTCCCTGATGCCCTCAGTTTGCAGCAGTGTTCCAAAGTTACCTGTGCCTCTGCCTTGTCACTCAAGTTAGAAATCTGCCGTGGCTCGTCTTCCACTCAGCCTTGACAATAATATGCACTTACATAACCTTGCTAGTAAATTGCACAGCCAAGATCATAAGCCCAGCCAGTCTGGCTCCTGAGGCTGAGCTGTCATCCCCTGGGCCATATTTATTTAAGTGGGCAGAGTCCAGAGACAGTGGTGGAGCCAGCCACTCCATGCAAGAATGCTGGCTGGCTTTTGAAACTAAGTTCTTCCCCACCCCCTCATTCCTATCCAGCCCCCGCCCCTCCAAGGCTGGGCATCCTTCAGCATTCTGTCCAGGGAAGCCATTCCCTCACTTCTCAGCGATCTCTGCTTTCTCCTCTGACTCTAGTTCATGTCCTTCCAAAGTAACCAATGGTTTCTTTGCCATCGATGCTGCTTGTTTCTTTTTCTGGGGATGCTCTTGCTTTTTCATACATTTCCTTTGGCTCTTTCAATACATGTTTTGAGGCAAGAGAGAAGTTGGACTGTCTGTTCTCCTGCCTCATTCTGCATGTAACATCCTGTATAACTCAACACAAGCCATGGGGAGCACCTTGCCCTCATCCCCAGAGACTATCTGCACCCTCCTGCATCCTTCTGCAGTCTATCTGGAATGAATTCACCCACAGTGAGGCTGTGGTAAAAAGAAGCAGGAAGGGCTGGTATTTATTTTAAACTCTTCCAACTGTTTCTCCTGAATCAATACCTCACATCCTTGCTCAAGGTTTCACCCTTACCAAGTCTCTGTGTGCAATTTACAGATTAGTCTAGAGTTCTTGGGGGTTTTCTTTTTTAACTCATGAAGGAAGAAACAGAAAAGCAATAAAATGAAAAAGGACAGCAGAAAATGATACTGACACTAATCTCTCGGTGATAAGCACCTCACTTATCCTGCCTTGGTTTAATCAGGTGATAAGATGATAGACAAAGACTTTTCTTCCAGCTACATGAGCACCATGAAATATTTTGGGTAGGCAACTTCTTTCAGCACAGAGGGAAAAATGGGATGCTTATTAGCTTATGAACTAAAGCTCACCACAGGAGCCCTATATGCTTTACAAAACATTTTGTTTGATGCAGTGTTGGTGGTGACAGTTTTGTTTATCAGAAACTATTCTGTACACATGGCTAATCTGCCACTCAAAATGGGAGATGTGCTGCCAATTAACCAGAGGCTGTTCCCCAATGCCATTTACATGATTATTGTTGCTATTACTATCGTTAGAATTCAGGGAAAGGGGAATTCAGGAAAGAGACAGAATGAAAGCTTAACAGAACTATACTCTTCTACTTTCCCTTCTACTTCCAGAAAAACCCAAAGATGAATTTGTGGATTTTCACTCTCCTCAACTTCCTGTGACCTGTGGTGAAGCTAAAGGGATTTTATATAAGGAGAAATTGAAACAAGGTAGGTTTTCTCCATCTTCTGCTCTTTGGAACCCCTAGAGCCACTAGAAGAGAGGAAAATACCCATGTGTTTAATCGTCCAGGAGATAAACCCTGCAAGCTAGGCTGCAGAGAAAGAAGTGCTTGTTAACAAGGAAGTTTTGCTTTTCCATGTCATGGTGAACCTGGCCATTAGGCCACTCCACCCCCACGTGGAAGTCATCCATGGACCCAGTGGCACTACTTGCTGCATGTAGATGTCCCATAAAATGCAAATCATCTCCCACTCCCACAGGGTTTAGGGCTTCCTTCAGCCTGCAAGAGGAGGAAGGCAGACTCCCCTGCTATTGCTCTGTCCCTTTGGGGAGTCTCTCTGGACCCAGGCAGGTGGAACAACCACAATTAGGGTTTGGAGGTTGAGGGTGAATTCACAGAGCATGAAATCGGATCCAGGAATGGGCCGTCTTGATCCTCCAGGATCCTCAGAGAAGTGCATTCAGAACGAAGAGGGAGTTTGGTTCACGCCAAAGGAATTTGAAATTGAAGGAAAACGGGCAACTTCAAGGAAATGGAAGCAGAGTGTACATTGCAGAGGAAAGACCTTAGAAGAGCTGCTGAAGGTATTATGACAGGGGACAGATGGGTGATGGGTTTAATTCCTTGAAGGAGGAGTGCAATTTCAATTATAGAAGTGTGAATAAATTCCATTAGGATCAAGAAAGAGCTAAATTTTTCATAGAAAAAAGTTATGAGTGATAAAGTGAGAAAGGTAGATTGGTGCTGATCATGGAGAATGTGAAATGTGAGCAAAAGGCTGTGAGGTCAGGAGAGACTTAAAAAGCGTAGACTGGGGCTATTGGGGGGGTGGGGGTGAGTCAGGGGAAACCAGATGGAGACACAGATCTGAGAGCTTCCCTGCGCCCTCCACCCAATAAAGGCTCCTTCCAGACCCAGCTCATCTGGACCCCTGGGTGCATTTCCAGACCATCCTGTCCATGGGCAATCTCTCCTCTGGACTTCCCTGCCTCACACTCCATCCTGTGAGCCACAAACCAGGCTACTAGTCTCTGTGATCCCAGACCCCAACACAACGCCTTGAAAAACACTCAAAAAATTATCACTGGAATGAAATCATAAGGATTTTGCCTACAGAGGAAGAAATAGAGAGGAGAAAGCGGGTGGGAAAGGAACTGGGAAGGAAGGACTAATGAGTCTTAGGTTTGAGTAACAGGAAATAAAATGATTTTTTCAAGTGAAGTTCAGAAGAAGAGCTGATTGGAGGATGGAGCTAATGGTGTTTCTTTCAGACACCTTGGGTTTGAGATCCATAGGATGTCCAGGTACAAATATTCACTAGGACGTGGGGACTTCGATGCGGACAAAAGAAGAGCTTCCAGGATAACCTCATTCACTGACCCCTTCTCTCTTTCAGAAAGGACTTTTGCTCGGTCCTCCAAGAATAAGTGTCAAGAGAAAGGTAAATAGCAGGTGAATTTCTACCACATTTTCAGCCGCCATGTTGCACACTCTCTGCATTCAAAGGCTTGCCTTTGAGTCCTCAAGTTCCTCAGTCCTGTGTCACCTTTACTTTTAGTCATTGCATCTTCACGACAATGGCGTTGGCACACTGGTACACGGATGTGCCATCATTATTTTCATAGTTTGGGATGGAGACACAAATAACTCTTTAAAGATTAGAGCATAAACTGATGATATGCATGTGGTCTGATAGAGAAGAACTGGATATTTGGATGACTACAAACCAGAGGTGTCAGAAATAGAGTTCTCTAGTTTGAAAAGTAAATATGACATGGAGATAGACAAGAACAGAATGTGTAAGAGCAAGAAGACCATCCTTGATGGAACACAAGTATTGATTCAACATGCTCATTATCAGTGGCATCAAAATGGAATAATAGTGTTTGAACTGAGCTTTGTCTCTGGAGAGCGTCCCTCCAGGTGAAAATGGCAGTTATCCATTGTTTGCACCAGCTGCTCCTCCTCAGCCTTCTTTACTTGCTTAAATATGCCCTTGAGACACAAATCTCATTCATGACCTTCCCATTAGCTATGAACTTTCAGCAGAGGCAATGGTCCCTTTCCCATCTTGCCCTGGGGGCTGGCCTGACCCTTGGCTGGATTCATTCAAAGTTTAAAAGACAAGGGGTCCTCCCAATGCTGTTTATTGTATAAAACATCTTTTTCATGCTGATTTGCAACATCTTGATAGGTACAGAGATGCTCCTTGTAATAGCCAAAAATTAAGGAAGAATACAAATGCCCATCAGTACTCCCAAATAAACTGATACATTACTGAATGGTATTTTTAAAAAAATGCGTGGGTATAGACCCCTTCAGTTAATGGAAAACCAACCAAGGATTTTAAAGTCAAGAGAGCTTCCAGAAGCTTAAAATGGTATGTATGGAAGGAGCCGGATTTTGTTTATGTGACTCTGTAGATCTATGATTGAAAATATACCTCAATGAATTGATTATTTTGGGATAGGATTATAGGGGACATTTGCTCCCCATATTATACGTTTGTGTACAGGTAGAAATTTTATAACGACCATTTATTACTTTTGTAAACAGGCAAAAAAAATAATAAAGGTACTTTTAATCCAGAACTTTAATTAATGGCCCCAATATTCTAGTTCCTTCTCACTCACAATGCCACACGTCAGTACGTTATAGTCAGAAGCACACTTGACCTGACCTTTCAGTCCCACCTATTAGAAGCCACATTGGGATAATGAGATTAAGTTTAGTTTTGACTACAAATGGGCTAATGCAGGCCCTTTCTTCAGCAGCGTTATCTAATACACAACTGTTACTCTGCAGTATACCCATTCTGTGTTGGTGTCTCTCTTTGTATATGTGTACCATCAGGAGACTTGATGCTGTTATTCCAAACGTGTTTTGTGGCTTCCCTGTGCGATGCTGCTTCCCTGAACCAAGGCAAAATGAGCACAGGCTGAGTGCTTGTGAGAGCCTTCATCTCTAGAAGGGCCCAGTATGCAGACAGAAGTAGTTACTCTAATGGCATATGGTGGGAACTAAGAACAGTGTTTTTGCTTTATTTTGGACAGATTCTAGAGCCTTTGACTGAAGGGATTCTCATTCAAAGTGGGCCAATTTGCAAGTAAGCATAATTGGGCATAAGTAAAATCTGTAAATCAGGCATATGTTACCTTGAATCCAAAGGTCTAAAATAGATGTTGGGCAATAGTTGCGAGTATTGAGACGGTCAACAATTGTTTCTTGACAGTGCCAGGGATAGAACAGCCTTCAAATGATCAAATAATGCCCAGAAATTTGCTGAGCTGATGGGGCCTCATACTATGTATGCACAGTGGCCTATCCCTTTCTGTGAGTTCCTCTGTGAGTAATTGTATATTCTGAACGAGTGTGTCAAATCAGAAGGATGTCATCAGCGTACTGTCACACTTGTGCTGCCAGGGAAAGTCGGATGCAGTTAAGATCTTGCCTGCAGAGGTTGTGTGTGCTGATAAAGCTGTTGAGGCACTGCAGGTGGCGAGGAGTGTTATATCCCTACAGCTGCAAGGCAGCTGGGATGCTGTTGAAATAGGCACAGAACAGAACTTACTAGCCAAATACGGGACAGCAAAACACTGGCCAGGCGGATGGTGCCAGTCATTTCAATAATATTGTGTATAGGGAACTTAATAGGTGGAGTTCCTTTTGAATAATGATATCCCACTAAATTTAAGCAAATTACCCTCTATACTCGTAGGGGAGTGACCGAAGATAAAATAGAGGAAAAACAGTTACACCTCACATTAACCATCAAAATTGCTGCCCCCTGGTTATAATACCCACCGCCCTGAAATATCTTGTAGTGAGTGTGCACACTCTTACCCAATGAATAACGAAGTAAAATAAAATTAATCTTTTGACACTTGACAATCAGCCTTACAAAATGGAACCCATGGACCTTTCCCCTCTGTTAAATAGTTAATGGAATCCAGTATAAATTTCAAGGATCAAAACTCATTATACAAGCTCTGTTTCAAGCAGGAGTGATTATTTCTACTGTTTCACTATTTGACTGCCCAGTTTGGCCTGTTCTTGACTTGAACTTGGAAAGAATGAGTAGTGCCTCATGGTGGATGACCACAACCTCACTGCCATGGCCCAGTAGACCCAATACAACTCAAAGTGTAAGTCAGTTGGCAGAACCAGTTAGCAAGAGAAGACAGACCCCTGGCCCCCAAGACTCCCTGCCTGTTGAGCCCGTGTCTGGTAGTTACCTGCAGGGAGGTGAGATCAACCCTTCACCAAAATCTGGGTTCAGATACCGAAACTGATGATGCAACACACGCTCCTAGAGAAAATGAAATGATTGATTACTCACATACTGAGACTTCCTTGGGAGGGTCGAGCAGGCTCCCAAGCTGGTCTGAAAATGGCCTGAGTGGCCAGAGGGAGTAGCGCCAAGTTTTATTAGGGTATGGTTGGAGCCAAGGTGAGAATTCTCTTGCTGGGACAGAGCTTGTCTGGTTTGAACTTCTCCCTGGGGCCAGGAGGGGGAGCCCATGGCTTCCTTATCGACTTACTGACTGGCGAGAGGTGGTAAAAGGGGTAAGAGGAAGGGGTGGGACTTGAAGCTGTCAGCAGTGGAACACAAACGCCGGAGTCAGAAGGTGACTGTGCAGTTGCACGCCCTTTCTCTCATTCTCTGTCATATCATGCGTGTTGGAAACTATCCAACTCCAGAGCCTAGGGAACGGGGTGTTTTATACTGGTCACAGCCTATCAATAACCAGTGTTGTGCCTAGTCTGGCCCTCGTGGTTCCTCTAATCGCATGCCTTTCAGCAATAACCATCAGGAAACTGAAAAGAATTTTTTATTACTTTTTATTACTTATAGGATGTGGAAATTAGAGAGCATACCTGGGGCCATAGTGAGATGGCGGAGAGATGGAGAGAGACAAAGAGAGAGAGAGACAAAGAGAGAGAGAGAGAAGGAGAGAGAGAGAGAATGAGCACAGGCAAGGGTGGGGGACCTAGGGTGTGGCAGGCTCATTCTTTACTGGTGAATTTAAAACATAAGAGCTGGAATTTAAAGTACGAGAAGAGAGGGGAATAAAAGTGGCTCAGATGGTCAGTTCTTGAAATCAACCAAGATGTATAAAACAAAGGAGCCTCAGCCGGGACAGGTGGCCTGGCTCTTTATCTAGTTGTGTGGCTCGCAATGTGTTTACTCCAGAACTAAAGAGATAGCTATCTTTGACTGGGGTGGAGGGAGTGCTGAAACCATCTAGGGTTCAGTCAGCCATTTGCATTACAAAAAAGGGAAAAAAGAAAAAAGCTGTCAGGGCTCACACTTCAGAGGGGCTGGGACTCTGGATCCAACTTGGATCTCAACTGGGAGGAGGAGGTAGGTCTGGGCTGTGCACAAGAAGCTGGTGTCAGCAACCTGGGCCTGGTTAGGCCTAGTCAGAGGGCAAGAATGGCCATAGAGGATCAATTCCAGGGACAAAGAAAGGCAGACTGGTGAATTTGGGATGGGAAGGCCAGAAACTTCACCTGAACTTCAGGATTGGTGGGGAGCCCTCTTTATGGAGTCCTGAGGCCCTTCGAAGTAGACAAATTTGTTCAGGGAGCCTCCCCAATTGAGAAAGATTAATTTCATCCCCAAATAAAAAGGAGGTTTTGTTCCGGCTGAGTGGCCAGTTTTGAGAATGGACAAGACATTTCCATCCCTCCTGCCCTCACCCCGGTCCCTGTGCTTGTGCTGTGGACAGTTGAGGGTAGTGGCAGGATTTCTCTCCTTAGAAGTAACTGATCCCCAGCCTCTCAATCCTGTGCTCCAGCTCCTAATGGTCTATTATCCGCCTTTTCACCGCCCAGAGGCACAGACAGAAATGTACCTCTTCCTGATTCCTACCTTCCCTTGTACATGACGCCCCACTGTCCATCTTGTGGGGTCAGGAGAAGATCAGGGGCCCCTGCCTGTAGGTCTTTATCTAGCAGTAAGGATCACTTGTAGAATTTACTGGATCACATTCTAAGGCCATGAGAAAGACGGCGATTCCTGAGCCCCACGAAACAACCCATTTGTACAGCAGTGATCTGTCTTTCTGTTTCTGTTTGTCAGCTATACTGCCAGGGACTGTTCTGGGTCTTCCCAACACGCTTGCCTGAGATGGCACACAGGGGATGGAAACAGCTCTGAACCCAGGCATGGGTGCCTCAAGCACTAAGTTGCGTTGACACTGCAGAAAACAGAAAACAAACAAACAAAAAAAGACATCTTGTCTTCCCAGCCTTGTAAAATGAGGAAGTTGCCTAAAGCTGCATTTTCTCAAATTTCATGTACTTACAAAGCACCTGGGGTCCTGTTAAAAGGGATTTCAATTCAGCAGGTGTGCTCCCTAACCGCCTCCTAGTTAATGCTGATGCCACTGGTCCTCAGACCACACTCTGTGTAGAAAAGGCTTAAACGACCTTCCAGTCCCTTCCAGCTCTGTCAATGTGTGGTTCAAGCGGCAACCTGAGGAAACTTTCTATCTGCTTTTCTGCGATCAACCAGAAGGAACAGACTCGTGCTCGGTGCTCTCCGGGAGCACGTGGTCAGCTGGAAACGTGCGCTCTGGAACATACAAGGATGGCATGTTACAAAGCCCCTCAGTGCTGGCGTGCAGTGGATCTCACTGATGCCGGCGCTGCTGCATTATCTCCCCTTCCAGGTGGAAAGCTCCAAAGAATGTGAGGTGTGCTGTAGAGGGGGACCACTGCTCTGCTGCATCACTTGTCCAAGAGCCTTTCATGGGGACTGTCACATCCCGCCTGCAGAGGCCGAGAGGTTAGTGAGACCCAGCTCTGCCTTCTGCACACCCTCTGGTCGCTCATCTCCAAGCAGAAGAGCAGGATGCGTGAGCACCGTGGCTCAGGTGTGACCCAGAACAGCTAGACGGGGCGGCAGCCTATGTTCCGCCTGGTATCAGCGACAGCCTCAGGCTCTCTGAGTCTGTGACTCAGCCTCCTTGACTTCACATTGCTACTGCCCCTGGGAGGTGTCCTTTCCTGGTTTTGCAACCCCGACTCCCGTCCCCGGGGGTTGAGGATGGGAAACACCAGTTGTTTGTGATCTGCAATTATTCTGAAAGACAGGAAACGTGGCCTGGTTCGTGCATCTTACCACAGGCTCAACAGGCTGATAGAGGCCTCCTTCCCCACTAGTTAAGGTCCAGTTTTGACACTCAGGTGCCACAGGCAGGGCTCCCAGCAGCTCAGATAGGGCAAGGAGGACCCACCACTCACCTAGAGCCCGCCCTCCATGCACAGAGCCCCCTGTTGCCACCCTCGATGGGAGGAGGGTCATGGGCTCAGCCCCACATGACCCGGAGACTCTGGGAGGGGTCCCCTTCATCTCCCAGCTCTGTCCATCGGCCATGTCTAAAAGGAGGGCAATGGCAGCCGTAGGGACAGCGGCTGTTTCCAGGGGCCTTGCCCTCGCTCACTCCCGCCCGACCTCCCAGGAGCCCGTGGAGTTGCACCTTCTGCAGGATGGAGTCTTCAGGAAGGCAGCAGTGTCACAGGGAATCTGAGGTCCTGGAGAGGCAGATGCAGCCCGAGGAGCAGTTGGTGAGCGGGGTGCAAACCCCAAGGCTTCTCCTTAACTCCTGACAGTGAGAAGTCCAACAGGTGGAGGGGGAGGGGAAGGGGGTCCAAAGGAGCATCTGGTGTCTCTCTTCTGGGGATGGAGATTCGGTGCCTGCACACAGTTCCACACACCCGTGGCTCCTCGGCAAACATGGGTGGACGGCTGGCTGTGTCTGCCCGGGGAGCAGGCCTGGCTTCACTTCTTCTGAGCTGCGTTTCACTCTAAAGGTCTCTTCACATTTTACAGAAATGTGAGTTCCTCCTCTTGAAGGCCTACTGTCACCCACAAAGCTCCTTTTTCACAGAAACCCCACATAATGTAAGTCATGTTTTGCGATTCTCGTCCTCCGGGCATCTCTCTTAAGTAAAACTCATTCTGGAGTTTCTGAGTGTGACTCCTGCAGACACTGCTGTCGGCAGAGAGCGGGTTTAGTTGCAGACTCTGGAGTGGGCCTCCCTGACTCACGCCCCACCCACTGGGTCCTGGTTCTGGGACACCCGGTGACTTGCTCCGCCTCCCATGTACCTCAGTTCCGTCTTCTCTTAGGCGGGAATGTCTTTCTTACAGACAGCACGGGGCTTAGAGCACCCCGTCAGGGTCCAGGCTCTACCATAAATTCTGGGTAGGCGGCTGAACTTCTCCATCCCCTGGTATTGTCACGTAGAAAATGGGGGTAATGACAGCTGCCTGGGTCATGGGGTTGTTGTAGGATCATGTGTTAATATCGTGGCAGCGCCTAGAAGGGTGCCTGGCATAGACATGGCAGATGCTAATCTCATTATCACCCTGGAAATGAAGACTTCTGTTATATTAAAGGTGGATCCGTTTTCTCTAACAATGGCTGTGCTAATAATATCACCGCTTTTGTGGCTTTGTCCCTAGATTCGCGATTACGGGGAGCCCTTTCAGGAAGCCATGTGGTTGGACCTGATTAAGGAAAGGTTGATGGAGAGAGTGTATAGTGTGACGTGGTTTGTTCGGGACATGCGCCTGATCTTTCACAACCATAAAATGTTTTACAAGGTAAGGGGCGTCTCCTGTTTCTTTTGCATGCCCTTTCCGATTTTCCCTAATTTCCGAGACAGCAGAACTTTGCAAGAGTTGCAGCAATCTTGTCCTGAAGAGAGGTCAAAAAGAGTAGGCTTACAGAAGAAAACAGCCTCTCAATTCCAGCGGTGGAGAGGAGATGTCCAAGAGAACAGCAAGCAGGACAGGGAAAATCCTCGTAAGCAGCACCTGAAAAAAAGCTCCATCCTCCATTCGAGGACAGACAGGATAGTTCCACTGAGGACAATCCATTTCATCCTGCCTCCTCGTTCAAATGGAGAGGAAAGGTAGTTATAGGTTACAAGGTTCTCCATGCCTCAGAAATACAAAAACTCAACGAATGAATTAAATTTGATGAAATAACTTAAACTCCCAGGATGCTCATACTTGGATTGTTTTACTCCTAAATTTCCCAGTGGCCCAAACACCCAGACTTGCCTCAGAGGGTGTTGGCTTCATCCTTGTTGGTAGGGAAACAACTCGTGCTCTTGTGCAGCCCAACACTTTCTTACCTTTACTATGCTGAGTTTATCCTGAATTTTATTACCATTTGTGCAGATATTTCTTGGGAGGTACCTAAGGAAGATTTCCATCCCCATTTAGCCCCCCACCCCTTCCTGCCACGGCACAAGTTGGCATGTCCCCAAACCACAAATTATAAACTGGTGTCTGCGTGTGGAGCTGGAGGGAGAAAGCGTCTACACAGGGAGCCCCCCCATGCCTGGTCCAGGCTTAGCCTTGGAGAATGGAAGGCTCATCTTTCCTTCTAAGAGTGGGCTGTCAAGAAATGCTTTATCTTTCTCTATTTTACACCAAGCTCAGGCTTTGCTGTGATCAAAATCAGCTCTCCAGCCCTGACCATTTGTCAGTTTCAAGCTAGGAACAGGGCAGAAGCTCATCCATTTCAATACTATGGTAGCAGCATCTCCCCCCCCAAACCTACATAAACACGCACGCGCGCGCGCACACACACAAACACACACACACACACACACACACACACTGCCTGGCTGCTGGGGAAGCACAGCCTTCAGGACAGGGAGGGCTGGGCTCCCAAAAATGCGAGTGATTTGATGGTCCTGATTCTTTGTCCTTAGATATCTGTTTGCTTTTTTTTTTTTTTTTTTGTCTTTCAGACTTCTGACTTGGGTCAGATAGGATTGGACTTGGAGGCAGAATTTGAAAAGGACCTCAAAGACATGTTTAGTTTTTGCAAAGCCAAAGAGAACAGCTTCCAGACTCTTTGACCCTGTTCTAGAAAGACTAGGGAACCCCAACTTCAGGATCCAGATGATGCGACCTTGCCCATCTTTAGCCAGCCAGTGAGTCTAGAATGTTATTGGCTGCCCTCTTGACTCAAAATCAGAGCCTTGTACCATCATCACACCGGTCTTTTCTTACTACACCTAAAAGTGTGTGTGTGTGTGTGTACACACGTGCGTGCATGTATGTGTGTAAAATATACCTCTCATCCCCATCCAGGGTCTCTTCCTTCTCAGTATTTACATCTCTCTTCTCCCACAGTATATATACTCACTTGCTCAACTAAAACTACAACAATACTATAACAATGGCTTCAGAATTTCTACCCCTACACCACTATGAAAAAGAAACTCAGTTGGATTCTAAATTTGGGTACAATTTATTTTTGCTTTTATATATGTATTTCATATACCATTGCAGAGAATATTTTTCAGAATTTTCACTCCTGTACTTATGAAAGAGGTTGGTCCTCACACTTCTGTGTCCTATCACGTAAGGCTATCCCAGCTGGGTACAATAACGTAGGGCTATCCCAGCTGGGTACGATAATGCCTAACACCCTCTACCTTTTTATGTGCTCTGGAATATTTATACTGTTTTCAAAGAACCAGCTCATAAAATTATATATCCTGCTGTTCTTTGGAGAAGTAATATTGACCATGATCTCTGCTTTTTCATGGTCATTCGACTACTCAGGTATTCTCTTGCCTTTGAATCAGGTCCACTTTTATAGTTGCCTATGAAGTCATTCATCCATGTGTTTTTTGTAGTTAGCCTTATTTCTACCATATCATTTTATTCCTTCTCTTCAGAATACTTTCCCATGATTTTCGTCATTTTCTTTGTTTCCACCCTCTTTTCTGGAAGGCATTTGTAACAGTTTTTAATTCTCCCAATACTTATCTGCAAGTTTTGCAAATGTATTTTTAACTTATTTTTTTGAAATGTCGGAGCCAAGGGGTGGCTGGGTGGCTCAGTCAGTTGAGTGTCCAACGCTTGATTTCTACTCAGGTCATAATCCCAGGGTAATGGGATCAAGCCCCACGTCTCACTCTGCTCTTACACTACAGAACCCTCCTTGGGATTCTCTTTCTTTCTCTCTTCTCCCCTACCCCTCTCTCTCAAAATAAATAAATAAATAATCTTTAAAAAATAAAAAATAGGACCACCTGGGTGGCTCAGTCAGTTGGGCATCTGACTTCGGCTCAGATCATAATCTCACAGTTTGTGAGTTTAAGCCCTCCATTGGGCTCTGTGCTGATGGCTCAGGGCCTGGAGCCTGCTTCAGATTCTGTGTGTCCCTTTCTCTCTGCCCTTCCTCTGCTCGCTCTCTCTCTCTGAAAAATAGATTAAAAATCAATAAAATAAAATAATAAAATAAAATATCTTTAATGAGCCACACATATAAGCCAAGGTGTTTATCACTTTCTGTACCTCTCAGCCCCCTAATTCCAGTCTATTCACTGTTTTATAATTTAGCTTTAAGATCATTAGTAAATGTTTATGTTTACTGTATATTAATTATTTTAATTTTATTCAATTATATAAGTCATTTTGTTATTTTTACACTGTATAAATCATTTGTTATGTCAAACATATACCAGAATTGAAAAGCAAAAGTTAAAACTGTGTGTAATATGATCACTTATCTTCATGAGAGCATATTAATGGTGTGAATTAATGTCACTGGTCTTTTCTTGCCATAACTTCTCCTTGCTTCTTTTTCGGCTCCTTCTTCCCATCAGTGAAGTATATCTTTAAGTAATATTAAAAGAAAGGGCACCTGGGTGGCTCAGTTGATTTGAGTGTCTGACTTCAGCTCAGGTCATGATCTCACAGCTCATGAGTTCCAGCCCCACATTGGGCTCTGTACTGACAGCTCAGAGCCTGGAGCCTGCTTTGGATTCTGTGTCTCCCTCTCTCTCCCCGCCCCTCCCCACTCACACTCTGTGTGTCCCTCTCTCTCAAAAATAAATAAACCTTTAAAAAAAATTTTTTTTAAGTGGCATGTTTTCTGAATCTGCACAGCTTTGAATGTCTTCTATTATTTTCCTAAATTCACTATTGGGCTACAATATGTATTTTATCACAACTTCTCACTTTCAAAATCGATTTAGACTTTGGTCCTCTGTATCAGGGCATTTCATCCTACAATGGTGAAGCCTGCATTCAGCCAGAATTCTGTTTCTTTGTCAGTGCGTGGACATATATGGGGTTTCCTCTTCCTCTCTATAGTTATGTATTTCTGACAGGATAGGATTCAATGTAATATCCTTATCATTGATCTTGCCTAGCACACTGAGACCTTACAATATACATCCCTGGTTCTTTTTTTATTAACAGCTGCATTAAATCTTTCTGATCCTTTTGTTCTGGGCTCTCTTTCAAGAACATCTCTTATCCATATGCTGGCTACCCATTGTCTGTCCCCCCTATTTATCATTTTAAAAAGAGAAAAAATAAATTCTGGGAAGCTCTCCTCTTCTCAGGTCATTAGTCTAAGCCTTAAACATGCTAACTTAAAACAACTGCAAGCCTGTGGTCAATATTTTTGAACTAATGATTTTTTATCAAGTAAATTTTTCCTACCACAATGCTCTTCTTCTCTCAAGACAAAGATAAAGAGCTTTCTGCCCCTACTAAGTTGTCCTGATCTGTGTGGTTTTTATTTGTTTCACTCTTACTTAGTGCCATAGAGAAGCGTTATGGACTAAATTATGTTCTCCCACCAAAGTCTTATTGGAAGCCCTAACCCCCAATGTGATGTACGTGGACACAGGACCTGGAAGAGGCTATTAACAGGTGGATGAGGTCACAAGCGTGAGGTCTGAATAAGATTAGTATCCTTATAAAAAGAGGAAGAGACCCCAGAAATCACTCTGTACTCACAGAGGAAGGGCATGTGTGGAGGGAGTAAGAAGGAGCCACCCCCCCCCCCAAGCCAGGAGTGAAATCTCACCAGGAATGGAGTCAAGTGGCACCTCCATGTGGGACCTCAAAACTCCAGGCCTGTGAAAAATAAATGGCTATTGTCCAAGCTTCGCAGTCTGTGGGTCTGTGTTGTGGCAGCCAGAGGCGACTGATACAAAGCGTGAGGAACACCTTCAAAGCCCACTGTCCTTCTTCACGAGGCACTCTGTGGGGAGTGTGTTGGAATTCCCATTTTGGTACCTAGTGTCATCGACTAATAAACAATGTACAGAGATTCCCCAGTGTTTCCACAGTAGTATGAACTGCGATATGGACTGACTTCACCTATGATGTAGGAAAGGGTGGAGGCAGTTTTGAGCCCTGATTTAAGAAAAACATGTAATGAAATAGAATTCTGCCAGGAGCTGCACCGGCCTCTATGGATGACAGTCAAAGCAAAGAAATGGCAGTGTTTGCACAGCTACCGCCATGAGAAATGAAAACTGGTATCTCCTGCTACTACTGGCTCATGTTGTGCTGGTATTGACCAGGCCTCACAATATTCCATATCAGACCAATATTCTGAACACAGATACCTCATGAGGAAAAGCATATTCCTGCCTTTACAAGAGAGATTTTAGATGAAAGCTCTATGGATGATTGTCAAAAGGCTCTTCCTGAGGGCCTTGCAGATCCAAGACTTAGGGGGTTAAGAACACAAGAATTACAACTGAGCCTGACCCCGAGACAAAGAGCTTAATTTAGAGTTAAGGTACAGATAAGGGCAGAACTTAAGCTAATACTTACACCTTCTCCTAATTGGTGATGTACCCCAGTCCCTTCCCCAAGGCCTACTTTCTGCAAACACCCTCCCTTACAGGTGGCTGGGATGAGGACAGATAAGAGTAGCTAAAGCATTACCCACAAACAAAAGGCTGACACATTTAGGGCCTCCATGGTGTTCACACATTCAGCATCAAATAGGTGTCCACAAACAACTTATTAACCAACTCAGAAACATTCATCTGAGAGCCAGACAGAATGACTCTTAGCCCATCTATACACTTAACCTATGACCTAACCTTAGCGTGATTAACTTAGAACAAATATGTATCCCGTCTTTTACTAAGAATACCCTAATTCTCTAGTTATAAGATTTTCTTAACCTCACTATAATTGGAATAGTTCTGCAAGAATATTTCTGTAAAACCTGCTTCTGTACACTTTCCAAAGCATCTTATCACAAAGAGCTATCCATTGTAAAAATTCCTTTTTCTGATGTCATGTTATCATTGAACCTATAAATAAAGACACCAAAACCGACAGGACAGAGATTCCTGCCTGGTGATCAGAAAGAATCACGGGGCTCTCTCACTCTCTCTCTCGCCGACACCGTCCATCCTTCAGGGACCCCTGGACCTGCTGGAGCCGGCTCGGCCTCCAGCAGAATTCCATTTATTATGTGGGAAGAGGACAAACATGATCCTAAAGACCGCCACTCTTGATGCCATTCTGGGGGAAAAGGGTGGGTCCTAGACATGGTCGTCCCTTCAGTACAGACTTCTCCTAGCACATTCTCGGTGTATCACGGCAAAAGATCCCCCCACCCCAGTGGCTTACAAGTGGCCACAATTGCTGTGTATTAAATGGTCTCACATCCAGGGATGCCTGTGTGGCTCAGTCAGTTGGGTTGAATATCTGACTCTTGACTTTGGCTCAGGTCATGATCTTGCCATTCGTGGGATCCAGCCCTGAGCTGGGCTCTGTGCTGACAGCACAGAGCTTGCTTGGGATTCTCTCTCTCTCTCTGCCCTTTCCCTGCATGTTCTCTCTCTCTCTCTTTCTCTCTCTCTCTCAAAATAAATACATAAACTTAAAAAAAAAAAAAGATCTTGCATCCATTGTGACCCTTATCCATTCTGGCACTGGCAAGCTGAATCACATCCCCCCCCACCCCCACCCCCGATTCCTCTCTATCTCCTATCACAGCTCTGGCTTACTCTATAACAAGGAAAAGAAACCCAACAACACTAAAGAAGTCATTTATTTCTTTCAATTGAAAGTTTCAACCACTATCAGTATGGTTGCCATGACAACCAAGACTCCATCTCTGGAACCAACTCTCCCTTTGGCTCCCTTTTGTTGCCGTACTGCTCCCCTGGTTTTCACACTATTTCTACCTCTAACAGCTGGGTTTGGTTTATTTTGCTCCACTCAGCTCTCTCTCATCATCCCCCCAGCACCTTTCTCTTGAGTTCCCCCCAGGCCCACCCTGTGTCAGCACTGACGTCCTTGGACATTAAAAACTATGGGGATGCCTGGTTGGCTCAGTTGGTGGAGCATGCAATTCCCGATCTCAGGGTTGTAAGATCAAGCCCCATGTTGGGTGTAGAGTTGCTTAAATATAAAAGGTGCCTGGGTGGCTCAAGGCTAAGCGTCCGACTCTTGGTTTCACCTTGAGTCATTATCCTCACTGTGTGCGAGTTTGAGCCCCACATTAGTCTCTGCGCTGATAGCTCAGAGCCTGCTTGGGATTCTCTCTCTCCCTCTCTCTTTCTCTGCCTCTCCCCTGCTTGCCTTCTCTCTCTTTCAAAATAAATACATAAACTTAAAAAAATTAAAAGTAAATAAAAAATAAAATCCTGAAACAAACAAAAACTCTTAATGAAACCAGTGTGGGTGACATGCCTGCTCACAGGTCAATCGCCTCCCCCCATGGACCCCTTCCAGCTCTGCTCCCAGGCTGTTTCTCCCTTCCTGGTCCAGCTCAGTTCCATTCCTCCCCTCTTCCCCTGGCCAGGACTTGCTCAGACCTTAGGTCAGCTCAGGACTGCCCCCGCCCAAGCTGTGACACTGGAGATTATAAATGACTCTCAAATAGTTCCCCAAAGCTGGCAAGGTTAAAGCTGCAAACATGAAGCAAGGAGAAGCTTTCTATCAAGAGCGACTGGAGGAATTGTATCTAAGAATATGTTCCGCCCTCCAGCTGATACCAGAAATTCAACCTTGGAAAATGCATTCTTAGGACCTGGGAAGGCATGGTCTCCTGGTCAAG